CTCCCCCCCCCTCCACGTCCTCCCCCCCCCCCTCCACGTCTCCCCCCCCCTCCACGTCTCCCCCCCCCCCCCTCCACGTCTCCCCCCCCCCTCCACGTCTCCCACGCTACCCCCCCCCCATTCCCCTCGTTTTGCGCGAGTTGGACTCGTCTGGTTCTCGGTCTCAAGGTTCAATGGGAGTGGGATGCGTGTGAGTGGAGTGTGTGTTTATGTATAGTGTGTATAGTGTGTGTGTTTATGTATAGTGTGTGTGTATAGTGTGTGTGTGTTTATAGTGTGTATATAGTGTGTGTGTGTGTTTATGTATAGTGTGTGTGTGTATAGTGTGTGTATAGAGTGTGTGTATAGTGTGTTTATGTATAGTGTGTGTAGTTTATGTATAGTGTGTGTATAGTGTGTTTATGTATAGTGTGTGTGTTTATGTATAGTGTGTGTATAGTGTGTTTATGTATAGTGTGTGTATATAGTGTGTATAGTGTGTGTTTGTGTATCGTGTGTGTGTTTGTGTATAGTGTGTGTGTTTATGTATAGTGTGTGTTTATGTATAGTGTGTGTGTGTATAGTGTGTGTGTGTATAGTGTGTGTGTATAGTGTGTATAGTGTGTGTATTTATGTATAGTGTGTGTGTTTATGTATAGTGTGTGTGTTTGTGTATAGTGTGTGTGTATAGTGTGTGTGTTTATGTATAGTGTGTGTGTATAGTGTGTGTGTTTGTGTGTATATTGTGTGTGTTTGTGTATAGTGTGTGTGTATAGTGTGTGTGTGTATAGTGTGTCTGTATAGTGTGTGTATAGTGTGTCTGTATAGTGTGTGTGTGTATAGTGTGTTTGTGTATAGTGTGTGTGTATAGTGTGTGTATAGTGTGTTTATGTATAGTGTGTGTATAGTGTGTTTATGTATAGTGTGTGTATAGTGTGTTTATGTATAGTGTGTGTATAGTGTGTGTATGTATAGTGTGTGTGTATAGTGTGTGTGTGTATAGCGTGTGTGTGTGTATAGTGTGTGTGTGTAGTGTGTGTGTATAGTGTGTTTATGTATAGTGTGTGTGTGTGTGTTTATGTATAGTGTGTTTATGTATAGTGTGTGTATAGTGTATGTATAGTGTGTGTATGTATAGTGTGTGTGTATAGTGTGTGTGTGTATAGCGTGTGTGTGTGTATAGTGTGTGTGTATAGTGTGTGTGTATAGTGTGTTTATGTATAGTGTGTGTGTTTATGTATAGTGTGTGTGTATAGTGTGTTTATGTATAGTGTGTGTATAGTGTATGTATAGTGTGTTTATGTATAGTGTGTGTGTGTGTTTGCATGGGAGCAGTGGTCGGGGGTTAAAGGGCTGTTACGCTCCCGAACCCGGCAAAGGGGGACCCCTGTTTGCAGAAACCTCTCCCTAAGGTCGACTCGGCCTTGAGTGAGCTTCTTGTGCGTGGTGTGTAACCAGCATCGCCACTGGGGGAGACAAAGGCGGCCGGGCGTGGTGCTGGCCACCCACCCCCTCGTGTGCCCTTCCGGCCTTCATAGGTGCTGCTACGCGCTAGCAGCACTTGCCCCAACAGTCTGTGAAGGCTACACGGGGGATCTTTGTTGTGTTACCCGGTGGGTGACGTGGGGAGAGAGGAAGGGAGAGGTGTTGTGAGTCAACCACAGCAACAACCACCACCACTTTCACCATCACAGGCAACACCACCACTTTCACTACCACCACCACTTTCACTACCACCACTTTCACCATCACAACCACCACCACTATCACAACCACAACCACCACCACTATCACCATCACCACCACTTTCACCATCACTACCACCACCACTATCACCATCACAAGCAACACCACCACCACTTTCACCATCACAAGCAACACCACCACCACTTTCACCATCACTACCACCACTTTCACCATCACAAGCATCACTACCACCACCATCACAACCACCACCACTTTCACCATCACTACCACCACCACCACTATCACCATCACAACCACCACCACTTTCACCATCACTACCACCATCACAACCACCACCACTTTCACCATCACTACCACCACCACTATCACCATCACAAACATCACCACAATCACCATCACAACCACCACCACTTTCATCATCACAATCACCACCACTATCACCATCACAACCACCACCATCACCACCACCACTATCGCCATCACAACTACCACCACTATCACAACCACCATCATCATCATCACAATCACCACAACTACCACAACCATCACAAACACCCCAACCATCACAATCACCAGTATAACCCCCCCGCCTCCGTGCAGCCTTAACAAACTGTTGGGGCAAGTTCTGTTAGCGAGCACCTTTGAAGCCCGGCACGGCCGCCTTTGTCTCCCCCGTGGCGATGTTTACACACCGCACCAGGTACTCATTTGAGGCTGGGTCGATCTAGGTGAGGCCCAGGACCTGTTTAGATAATCGTCACCGGTGTTGGCCGTGAGCGGGAATCGAACTCTGGTTGTCAGGTCCGGAGCGCAGCGTAGCGCTAACCACTACACTACCGCTCCCCACTATAACCACAACTACCGCAACACAACCACCATCGTAACCACCACTATAACAACCATCACAACCACAACCACCATCATCACAACAACCACCACTATAACCACAACCATGGCCACCACAAACACCACCGCCACTATCACCGCGCGTGGTGGCTACGCTGTCATCACCACTGCAATGTCACGTGATCCTTATCCTCACCAGGAGGACGAACCCTGGTGGAGCGGTGAGGAGGCGCAGTGAAGAGGAGCCGGGGTGGAGCGGTGAGGAGGTGGAGCGGCGATGCCGATCCGTAGCCACCGCTACCGCCTGGTGGACGATGGGCGTGACAAGAAATCTGGGGCGACACCACCGCACAGCGAGGAGGAGTTTGAGCGCGGGATCAACTTCTCTGCCAAGGTGGGGGGGGTGGAGGGGGCTGGAAGGAGTGGGCGGGGGAAAGGGGGGGGTGTTTCGGAGAGTCATTCCAACTCTACTCTTAAACTAAACATTTTTTAGTTTTACCTGGCAAGGCCCCGCTGAGCTCTGTTAGCTCTTTTTCATTGGCTGAGACCGCGCGTCGCGCTCTCATTGGCTGAGACCGCGCGTCGCGCTCTCATTGGCTGAGACCGCGCGTCGCGCTCTCATTCGCTGAGACCGTGTGTCGCGCTCTTATTGGCTGAGACCGCGCGTCGCGCCCTCATTGGCTGAGACGGCACGTCGCGCTCTCATTCGCTGAGACCGTGTGTCGTGCTCTCATTGGCTGAGACCGCGCGTCGCGCTCTCATTGGCTGAGACCGCGCGTCGCGCTCTCATTGGCCGAGACCCTGCATCGCCCTCTCATTGGCTGAGACCGCGCGTCGCCCTCTCATTCGCTGAGACCGTGTGTCGCGCTCTTATTGGCTTAGACCGCGCGTCGCGCTCTCATTGGCTGAGACCGCGCGTCGCGCTCTCATTGGCTGAGACCGCGCGTCACGCTCTCATTGGCTGAGACGGCACGTCGCGCTCTCATTGGCTGAGACCGCGCGTCGCTCTCTCATTGGCCGAGACCGTGCGTCGCCCTCTCATTGGCTGAGACCGCGCGTCGCCCTCTCATTGGCTGAGACCGTGCGTCGCCCTCTCATTGGCTGAGACCGCGCGTCGCCCTCTCATTCGCTGAGACCGCGCGTCGCGCTCTCATTGGCTGAGACCGCGCGTCGCGCTCTCATTGGCTGAGACCGCGCGTCGCGCTCTCATTGGCTGAGACCGCGCGTCGCGCTCTCATTGGCTGAGTCCGCGCGTCACCCTCTCATTGGCTGAGACCGCGCATCGCCCTCTCATTGGCTGAGACCGTGCGTCGCCCTCTCATTCGCTGAGACCGCGCGTCGCGCTCTCATTCGCTGAGACCGTGTGTCGCGCTCTCATTGGCTGAGTCCGCGCGTCGCGCTCTCATTCGCTGAGACCGCGCGTCGCGCTCTCATTGGCTGAGACCGCGCGTCGCCCTCTCATTGGCTGAGACCGTGCGTCGCGCTCTCATTGGCTGAGACCGCGCGTCGCCCTCTCATTGGCTGAGACCGCGCGTTGCCCTCTCATTGGCTTAGACCGCGCGTCGCCCTCTCATTGGGGGTGGGGTATGTTCTCACGAATCAGCATTCTGCAGAGTCGCGCGAAGCGAAGTCTGACTGTAGTGTCTGCACCCTGTGTGTGTGTGTGTGGTTGTTCGCTAACCGCACTTACCCCAAAATAATGTTAAGGCTCAAAGGTGGAATATTTGTCTTTAGTGTGGGTGGTGGTGTTACCAACTATCTTCGTGTTCCTGTGTCTCTGTGTCCCCCTTGTCTCCATCTCCCTGTGTCTCCCGTGTCCCCGTCTACCTGTATGTCCATATCCGTGTGTCCCCCATGTCTCCGTATGTCCGTGTCCCTGCGTCCCTGCGTCTCCATGTCTCCATGTCCCTGTGTCCCCGTGTCCCCCGCCTCCCCGCGTGCAGTACATCGGCAGTCTGGACGTGCCACGTCCCAACAGCCGGGCCGAGATCGTGGCCGCCATGCGACGTATCCGGGTGAGTGGGTCACACGGCGCCCGGGGGCTCCAGGTGGCTCGAGAGAGAGCCCTGGCTCAGGGCGGGCAACTCAAAGTTGTGGTGCCCAGTGGCCTTGCGGAGGAGGAGCTGGGCCTCTTGTCCTCTAATGGCATTGGAGCAACACCACCAAGTGTCACCATCCACCACCCCCAGTCTCCGCCCCCACTTCACGTGTGTGAACATGCATCAACCCCCCAGTCTCCGCCCCCACCCCACGTGTGTGAACATGCATCGACCCCCAGTCTCCGCCCCCACCCCACGTGTGTAAACATGCATCGACCCCCAGTCTCCGACCCCACCCCACGTGTGTGAACATGCATCGACCCCCAGTCTCCGCCCCCACCCCACGCGTGTGAACATGCATCGACCCCCCAGTCTCCGCCACCACCCCACGTGTGTGAACATGCATTGACCCCCAGTCTCCGCCGACACTCCACGCATGTGAACATGCATCGACCCCCCAGTCTCCGCCAACACCCCACGTGTCGGATTCCCGCTCGCAGCCAACGCCGGCGACGAGAATTATCCGAAGCGGTTCTGCGTCTCCCTTAGGTCGACTCGGCCTCAAATGAGTTTAACCCCCCGCGGTGGGGGCACGCGCGGTACCATCCACGCCCACCCCCCCCCCTCTCCCCCCCGCGGGCGCTACTCGCCAGCAGCACTTGCCCCAGCAGCCTGCGTGGGCTACAACGGGGTGGGGCGACCCTTTGTCTTTGTGTGCGGCAGTACGAGTTCAAGGCGAAGAGCATCCAGAAGAGGAAGGTGGTGCTGACGGTGTCGGTGGACGGGGTGCGCGTGACCCCGCGCGGCAAACGCAAGGTGCCCGCTCATCCACCTCCTCCTCCTCCTCCTCGTCGTCGTTGTCATCGTCGTCGCCTGCCACGCTGTCTCGTCCACACCGGGGGGAGGGGGGAGGGAGGGGGAGGGAGAGGGGGAGTGAGGGAGGGGGGAGCGAGGGAGGGGGGGGAGTGATGGGGGGGAGTGATAGGGGGGAGCAAGGGAGGGGAAGGGGAGCGAGTGATGGGGGGGAGCGAGGGAGGGAGGGGGGAGGGAGGAAGGGGAGAGGGACGGGGTGAAATAGTGGGGGAGGGAGGGAGGGAAGGGGGGAGGGAGGAAGGGGAGAGGGACGGGGTGAAATAGTGGGGGAGGGAGGGAGGGAAGGGGGGAGGGAGGGAGGGAGGTCACGGGATGGTGCGTGTGGTGGTGTTGGTGGTTGTGGTGATTGTAGTGGCTGTGGTGGTGGTATTGGTTGGGGAGCGGTAGTGCGGCAGCTTGCGCACTACCGCTACGAGCCCGGTCAACTGAGTTCAATTCCCGCTCGGGGTCAACACCAGTCACGATTATTTGAACCGGTCCTGGGTCTCCACTAGGTCGACTCAGCCTTGATTGAGTACCTGGTTCATTGTATAAACATCTCTACTGGGGAGACAAAGGCGGCCGGCAGAGGTTGGTGGTGGCCACCCACCCCCCTTGTGTGCCGTGCCGGCCTGCATCGGTGCTACTCGCGAGCAGCACTTGCCCCAACAGTCTGTTAAGGCTACACGGGGGATCTTTGTGTTTGTGCGGGGCAGAAGAAGGAGTGGAGCTGGGATCAGAGCAAGCAGCTCATCATGCACGACCCCATTTACAGGTGAGCGCAGGGGTTCCTCACCACCCGGCGGTGAGCGTGGGAGATCGGGAGGGTGAGCGTGGCAGGGAGTTTTGGAGTGATCATGAGTTTGAGAGTGAGCTGTTTGTCAGTGAGAGTGAGAGTGCGTATAATAGTCATGGTGTATTGGTGAGTGTGTGTGTGTATATTCGTGAGTATTAGTGTATCGGTGAGTGTATAGTGAGGTTAGTGTATTGGTGAGTGTATAGTGAGGTTAGTGTATTGGTGAGTGTATAGTGAGGTTAGTGTATTGGTGAGTGTATAGTGAGGTTAGTGTATTGGTGAGTGTATAGTGAGGTTAGTGTATTGGTGAGTGCATAGTGAGTTAGTGTATTGGTGAGTGTATAGTGAGGTTAGTGTATTGGTGAGTGTATAGTGAGGTTAGTGTATTGGTGAGTGTATAGTGAGGTGAGTGTATAGTGAGGTTAGTGTGTTGGTGAGTGTATAGTGAGGTTAGTGTATTGGTGAGTGTATAGTGAGGTTAGTGTATTGGTGAGTGTATAGTGAGGTTAGTGTATTGGTGAGTGTATAGTGAGGTTAGTGTATTGGTGAGTGTATAGTGAGTTAGTGTATTCGTGAGTGTATAGTGAGGTGAGTGTATAGTGAGGTTAGTGTATTGGTGAGTGTATAGTGAGGTTAGTGTATTGGTGAGTGTATAGTGAGGTTAGTGTATTGGTGACTGTATAGTGAGGTTAGTGTATTGGTGAGTGTATAGTGAGGTTAGTGTATTGGTGAGTGTATAGTGAGGTTAGTGTATTGGTGAGTGTATAGTGAGGTTAGTGTATTGGTGAGTGTATAGTGAGGTGAGTGTATAGTGAGGTTAGTGTGTTGGTGAGTGTATAGTGAGGTTATTGTATTGGTGAGTGTATAGTGAGGTTAGTGTATTGGTGAGTGTATAGTGAGGTTAGTGTATTGGTGAGTGTAGAGTGAGTTAGTGTATTGGTGAGTGTATAGTGAGGTTAGTGTGTTGGTGAGTGTATAGTGAGGTTAGTGTATTGGTGAGTGTATAGTGAGGTTAGTGTATTGGCGAGTGTATAGTGAGGTTAGTGTATTGGTGAGTGTATAGTGAGGTTAGTGTATTGGTGAGTGTATAGTGAGTTAGTGTATTGGTGAGTGTATAGTGAGGTTAGTGTATTGGTGAGTGTATAGTGAGGTTAGTGTATTGGTGAGTGTATAGTGAGGTGAGTGTATAGTGAGGTTAGTGTGTTGGTGAGTGTATAGTGAGGTTAGTGTATTGGTGAGTGTATAGTGAGGTTAGTGTATTGGTGAGTGTATAGTGAGGTTAGTGTATTGGTGAGTGTATAGTGAGGGTTAGTGTATTGTGAGTGTATAGTGAGTTAGTGTATTCGTGAGTGTATAGTGAGGTGAGTGGTATAGTGAGGTTAGTGTATTGGTGAGTGTATAGTGAGGTTAGTGTATTGTGAGTGTATAGTGAGGTTAGTGTATTGGTGACTGTATAGTGAGGTTAGTGTATTGGTGAGTGTATATGAGGTTAGTGTATTGGTGAGTGTATAGTGAGGTTAGTGTATTGGTGAGGGTATAGTGAGGTTAGTGTATTGGTGAGTGTATAGTGAGGTGAGTGTATAGTGAGGTTAGTGTGTTGGTGAGTGTATAGTGAGGTTATTGTATTGGTGAGTGTATAGTGAGGTTAGTGTATTGGTGAGTGTATAGTGAGGTTAGTGTATTGGTGAGTGTAGAGTGAGTTAGTGTATTGGTGAGTGTATAGTGAGGTTAGTGTGTTGGTGAGTGTATAGTGAGGTTAGTGTATTGGTGAGTGTATAGTGAGGTTAGTGTATTGGTGAGTGTATAGTGAGGTTAGTGTATTGGTGAGCGGGTATAGTGAGGTTAGTGTATTGGTGAGTGTATAGTGAGGTTAGTGTATTGGTGAGTGTATAGTGAGTTAGTGTATTGGTGAGTGTATAGTGAGGTTAGTGTATTGGTGAGTGTATAGTGAGGTGAGTGTATAGTGAGGTTAGTGTGTTGGTGAGTGTATAGTGAGGTTATTGTATTGGTGAGTGTATAGTGAAGTTAGTGTATTGGTGAGTGTATAGTGAGGTTAGTGTTATTGGTGATGTGTAGAGTGAGTTAGTGTATTGGTGAGTGTATAGTGAGGTTAGTGTGTTGGTGAGTGTATAGTGAGGTTAGTGTATTGGTGAGTGTATAGTGAGGTTAGTGTATTGGTGGTGAGTGTATAGTGAGGTTAGTGTATTGGTGAGTGTATAGAGAGGTTAGTGTATTGGTGAGTGTATATTGAGGTTAGTGTATTGGTGAGTGTATAGTGAGGTTAGTGTATTGGTGAGTGTATAGTGAGGTTAGTGTATTGGTGAGTGTATAGTGTGGTTAGTGTATTGGTGAGTGTATAGTGAGGTTAGTGTATTGGTGAGTGTATAGTGAGGTTAGTGTATTGGTGAGTGTATAGTGAGGTTAGTGTATTGGTGAGTGTATAGTGAGGTTAGTGTATTGGTGAGTGTATAGTGAGGTTAGTGTATTGGTGAGTGTATAGTGAGGTTAGTGTATTGGTGAGTGTATAGTGAGGTTAGTGTATTGGTGAGTGTATAGTGAGGTTAGTGTATTGGTGAGTGTATAGAGAGGTTAGTGTATTGGTGAGTGTATATTGAGGTTAGTGTATTGGTGAGTGTATATTGAGGTTAGTGTATTGGTGAGTGTATAGTGAGGTTAGTGTATTGGTGAGTGTATAGTGAGGTTAGTGTATTGGTGAGTGTATATTGAGGTTAGTGTATTGGTGAGTGTATAGTGAGGTTAGTGTATTGGTGAGTGTATAGTGAGGTTATTGTATTGGTGAGTGTATAGTGAGGTTAGTGTATTGGTGAGTGTATAGTGAGGTTAGTGTATTGGTGAGTGTATAGTGAGGTTAGTGTATTGGTGAGTGTATAGTGAGGTTAGTGTATTGGTGAGTGTATAGTGAGGTTAGTGTATTGGTGAGTGTATAGTGAGGTTAGTGTATTGGTGAGTGTATAGTGAGGTTAGTGTATTGGTGAGTGTATAGTGAGGTTAGTGTATTGGTGAGTGTATAGTGAGGTTAGTGTATTGGTGAGTGTATAGTGAGTTAGTGTATTGTGAGTGTATAGTGAGGTTGAGTATAGTGAGTTAGTGTATTGGTGAGTGTATAGTGAGGTTAGTGTATTGGTGAGTGTATAGTGAGGTTAGTGTATTGGTGAGTGTATAGTGAGGTTAGTGTATTGGTGAGTGTATAGTGAGGTTAGTGTATTGGTGAGTGTATAGTGAGGTTAGTGTATTGGTGAGTGTATAGTGAGGTTAGTGTATTGGTGAGTGTATAGTGAGGTTAGTGTATTGGTGAGTGTATAGTGAGGTTAGTGTATTGGTGAGTGTATAGTGAGGTTAGTGTATTGGTGAGTGTATAGTGAGGTTAGTGTATTGGTGAGTGTATAGTGAGGTTAGTGTATTGGTGAGTGTATAGTGAGGTTAGTGTATTGGTGAGTGTATAGTGAGGTTAGTGTATTGGTGAGTGTATAGTGAGGTTAGTGTATTGGTGAGTGTATAGTGAGGTTAGTGTATTGGTGAGTGTATAGTGAGGTTAGTGTATTGGTGAGTGTATAGTGAGGTTAGTGTATTGGTGAGTGTATAGTGAGGTTAGTGTATTGGTGAGTGTATAGTGAGGTTAGTGTATTGGTGAGTGTATATTGAGGTTAGTGTATTGGTGAGTGTATAGTGAGGTTAGTGTATTGGTGAGTGTATAGTGAGGTTAGTGTATTGGTGAGTGTATATTGAGGTTAGTGTATTGGTGAGTGTATAGTGAGGTTAGTGTATTGGTGAGTGTATAGTGAGGTTAGTGTATTGGTGAGTGTATAGTGAGGTTAGTGTATTGGTGAGTGTATAGTGAGGTGAGTGTATAGTGAGGTTAGTGTATTGGTGAGTGTATAGTGAGGTTAGTGTATTGGTGAGTGTATAGTGAGTTAGTGTATTCGTGAGTGTATAGTGAGGTGAGTGTATAGTGAGGTTAGTGTATTGGTGAGTGTATAGTGAGGTTAGTGTATTGGTGAGTGTATAGTGAGGTTAGTGTATTGGTGAGTGTATAGTGAGATTAGTGTATTGGTGTGAGTGTATAGTGAGGTGAGTGTATAGTGAGGTTAGTGTGTTGGTGAGTGTATAGTGAGGTTATTGTATTGGTGAGTGTATAGTGAGGTTAGTGTATTGGTGAGTGTATAGTGAGGTTAGTGTATTGGTGAGTGTAGAGTGATTTAGTGTATTGGTGAGTGTATAGTGAGGTTAGTGTGTTGGTGAGTGTATAGTGAGGTTAGTGTATTGGTGAGTGTATAGTGAGGTTAGTGTATTGGTGAGTGTATAGTGAGGTTAGTGTATTGGTGAGTGTATAGTGAGGTTAGTGTATTGGTGAGTGTATAGTGAGTTAGTGTATTGGTGAGTGTATAGTGAGGTTAGTGTATTGGTGAGTGTATAGTGAGGTGAGTGTATAGTGAGGTTAGTGTGTTGGTGAGTGTATAGTGAGGTTATTGTATTGGTGAGTGTATAGTGAGGTTAGTGTATTGGTGAGTGTAGAGTGAGTTAGTGTATTGGTGAGTGTATAGTGAGGTTAGTGTGTTGGTGAGTGGATAGTGAGGTTAGTGTATTGGTGAGTGTATAGTGAGGTTAGTGTATTGGTGAGTGTATAGTGAGGTTAGTGTATTGGTGAGTGTATAGTGAGGTTAGTGTATTGGTGAGTGTATAGTGAGGTTAGTGTATTGGTGAGTGTATAGTGAGGTTAGTGTATTGGTGAGTGTATAGTGAGTTAGTGTATTGGTGAGTGTATAGTGAGGTTAGTGTATTGGTGAGTGTATCGGTGAATGTTTTGGTGAGTGATGCGAGCGTCCCCGCCCTGCAGGATCTTCTACGTGTCCCACGACTCCCAGGACCTCAACATCTTCAGCTACATCTCCCGCGACGCCGTCACCCACGCCTTCCGCTGCAACGTCTTCAAGGCCAAGCGCAAGGTCTGCCTGCGGGGGGGCCCAGCAGGGCCACGGGGGTGGTGGGGGGGGGGGCAGCAGGACAAGAGGGTGGGGGCCCAGCAGGGCCACGTTGGCCCAGCAGGGCTACGTGGGCCTAGCAGGGCAAGGGGGGGTCGAGGGGTTTAAGGGGGGCCTGTAGTGCCAGTGGGGACCAGCAGGACCATGTGGGGCCACTGGGGGTCAGTGGGGGGTTAAGCAGATCGGCACGGCCTATGAGGACCATTTGGGGCCCAGGACAAATACCGCTTCCCGACATTCGGAAACTGGTAACGGACTCTGCAAGCGGTGACCGTTTTTTTTCCGGTAGATGCGGTAACCGTTAACCCCTAACCGCACGACCACCACCGCCGGCGCCGGCTAACGAGGATGGGGCGGGTGTCGTGCAGAGCCACGCGATGCGGGTGGTGCGCACGGTGGGGCAGGCGTTTGAGGTGTGCCACACGCTGAGCCTGGCACACGGAGCCCAGCAGCAGCAGCAGCCCCAGCAGCAGCAGCAGCCACAGCAGCAGCAGCAGCCCCAGCAGCAGCAGCAGCAGCATGCCGAGGACGGCACACAGACACAGCCGGCTCCAGGTGAGTTGGTGAGCGGGCGTGCGAGAGCGGCCGTTCGTGCGTGTGTGTGTGTGTGTGCGTGCGTGTGCATGCGTGTGTGTGTGCGTGCGTGTGTGTGTGTGTGTGCGTGTGTGTGTGTGCACGTGTGTACGTGTGTGTGTGCGTGTACGTGTGTGTGTGTGCGTGCGTGTGTGTGCGTGCGTGTGTGTACGTGTGTGTGTGTGTGCCGGGGAGCGGTGGCACAGCGGTTCGTGCGGTGTATAAACGTCACCACTGGGGGAGACAAAAGCGGCCGGGCGTGGTGCTGGCCACCCACCCCCTCGTGCGCCGTGCCTGCCTGCGTAGGTGCTATGAGGAGGGGTATCTTTGTCTTTTGTGTCGCGGGAAGCGGGGGCGCTCCAAACCCGGCGGTCCGGGTTCGATTCCCGCTCGTGGTCGACACCAGTGACGATTTTCTGAACGGGTTCTGGGGCCTCCCCTAGGTCGACTTAGCCTCAAATGAGTACCTGGTGCGGTGTGTAGTAAACATCGCCACTAAACACCTCGCCCGGCCTTCGGTGTTGGCCACCCCACCCCCTCGAGTGCCGTTCCGGCACCTCGTCGATGTTCGCTAACAGCACTTTGCCCCAACAGTGCTGCAGGCTATACACGGGGGGAGGGATCTTTGTCTTTGCAGGCCTGGGTGGCTGCTGCAGCCCCCGTCAGCTGCTGCTTGCGGAGGTTCCGGGGGGCGGAGGGGGAGGAGTGGGGGACGGCGTGGGGGTCTCTCTCACGGGCACCCCCATCGCTCCCCCCAATGCAGCCGCCCCCAACAAACGCACAGATTCACAGGTACCCCTCCACCGGCACCTCCCACCCCGCCCCCCCCACCCAACCGCTTGGGACACACAGCCCCCCCTCCACATTATCGGTCATCACGGGTGATCAACAGCGCACTGTGTCACCACATTCATTCAAACTGTTCAGATGTTCCTGCGCTCTTTTCAATTTCTTCTCTAGCTCGACGTTAACGACCTCGCCTGGTGTACAGGAGGTCGTGGGGTTCGATCGCGACCCCTTGACGCCTGTCGTATGTTTGCAGTTTGCGTGTTTTTTTTTTCTCCCCGCGGCCACGTGGAATTTTTCGTCGATTTACACGGAACGATAATGATAAGCTGCTTCGTTGAGCTATCGTTTGTGGCCTGGTCGCTTCTGAAAAAGAGCTGTATAGCTCAGAGGGCCTTACCTGTAATTTTTAAAATAATTTATTCGCTTGTCCCTGCTCCGATTCATGTTTCCTTGTCTCTGCGCTCACCCGGTCTAACAATTTAAACCGACCCCTGCCGTGCGCGGCCTGGTCTGGCGTACGCAGCCTGCCGCCAACGGGACTTTCCTGAACGGGCTGCCCGACGGGACGCTGCTTCCCGGGCAGGGAAGCCTCCTCGCTGCGGCGGCGGCGGCGGCGGCGGCGGCGAGCCCCGGGTCGCTGGACATCACGCCGCTGTCGGCCCGCCATCACATCCAGCTGCTGCAGCAGCAGCTGGGGCAGCAGGAGCAGCAGACGCATGTGGCGGTGGCGCAGGTGACCGCGCGGGGGGTGTTGGGGGGGGGGGAGCGCTGGAACAACGGGGTCGGCGCGCTGCGTCCTCGATCCCGGCGACCCGACTTGGATTCCCCCTCGCGGCCAGCACCGGTGACGGTTATCTGAACCGATCCTGGGGCGCCCCCCCCTCTAGGTCGACTCGGCCTCAAATGAGTGCCTGGCGCGGTGCACAAACATCGCCACTGGGGAGACGAACGCGGCGGGGCGTGGCGCTGGCCAACGCCGGCCTTCATTGGTGCTGCTCGCTACTGACAGCACTTGCTTCAACAGTCTGTTCAAGGCTGTACGTGGGGGGGGGTCTTTGCCTTTTTACAGGTCCGTCTGCTGAAGGAGCAGCTGTCCGCGGAGGTGTCTGCGCGCGTGGAGGCTCAGGCGCGCGCTCACCACCTCCTCACCCAGAACCGGGACCTCCTCACCCACATCTCCGTGCTCGTCGCGCAGCTCCAATGCACGGAGATGCAGCTCTCGAGCACCGGTGAGTACGCAGAAGGGCAAAGTGTCACCGTGTAGCCACAACACGCCGTCAGGGCAAGTCGTCTTCGCGAGCACCTGTTAAGGCCGGCATGCCTCTCCTGTCTCCGTGTCGCCCTGTCTCCCATCTCCCTGTCTCCCATCCACCATCTCCATGTCTCCCATCCCCATGTCTCCCATCTCCCTGTCTCCCATCCACCATCTCCATGTCTCCCATCCCCATGTCTCCCATCTCCCATCTCCCTGTCTCCCATCCACCATCTCCATGTCTCCCATCTCCATGTCTCCCATCTCCCTGTCTCCCATCCACCATCTCCCTGTCTCCCATCTCCCTGTCTCCCATCCCCATGTCTCCCATCTCCTTGTCACCCTGTCTCCCATCTCCCATCCTCATGTCTCCCATCTCCCCACGTCCCCCCCCCCCCCCATCATCTCCCCGTTCCCATCTCCCCATCTTCCCATCTCCCCACAGACGATGGCTGCCACAAGTTGGAGGTTCTCGCCAACGGCTTCCACTCCTCCACCTCACCGCCGGCGCGCGACCCGGCCCCCCCGACGGGCTCCGCTGGGCCCCCGGCCACCGCTCGGGCCCCCGGGGCTCTGAGCACCCCCGTAGGTACGGCAGCCGGCATCGGCGGCGCCGGCGCGGGGGGCAAGGGCGCCGACGGGCAGGGCCGGCAGGGCCCCTCCCACCACCGGGCGGCCGCGACGGCCGCGGCACCCGCGCCGCCGCCGCCGCCGCCGCCGCCGCCGCCGCCCCCCCGGGGCCCCCGCTTCTGCTGGAGCCGGCGTGGGTCGGCGTCCCCGTCGCCGCTGCCGCTCGGCACGCCGAAGCGCGAGTCCGGCATCGGCTCGCAGAGCGGCACGAGCGGCGACGACGAGGACGACGACGATGACGACAACGACGACGACGACGACGACGACGGTTGTGAGGAGGTGGCGGTGCGTGGGTACCGCCTGCTGGACGAGGCGCGCCGCCTGCTCGGGGCGTCGCACCACTCGCTCGAAGACGAGATCTCCGTCTGACACCGCGTTCCCTCCCTGCGGGGTCGCCGTGGGGTCGCCGTGAGGTCACCGCGGGGTCACCGCAGGGTCGGCCTACTCCCCGGCCCCCACTTTCCGCCCCTCTCCAGCCAACCGCCCTTAAATTCGTTGGGAAAGACAAAGGTGGCCAAGGCGGTGGTGGTGCAGGTCACACACCGCTCCCTTGAGCCGTGCCAGCCCTAATAGGTGCTCGCTAATAGCGCAGGCAGAGGCAGCCGGGTGGATCGGAGGTCGGGGTCGCTGCTCAGCCGGCACCGCCGAGAGCCTGGGTTCCAATCCGAGTGTCAGCCGATGCCTGCCGCTACACCGGGTTCTTTAATGCAGCGAGTTGATGGTCTCAGCCTGGTCACTCATAGACTCGCATATAGACTCATAGATGCGCACAGAGACCCATAGACTCATACAGAGACTCATAGATGCGCACAGAGACCCATAGACTCGCACAGAGACCCATAGACTCGATGATTTTGAGACCCATAGACTCAGGCAGAGACCCATAGACTCGATAATATTGAGACCCATAGACTCACACAGAGACCCATAGACTCGATAATATTGAGACCCATAGACTCACACAGAGACCCATAGACTCGATAATATGGAGACCCATAGACTCGATAATATGGAGACCCATAGACTCACACAGAGACCCATAGACTCGATAATATGGAGACCCATAGACTCGCACAGAGACCCATAGACTCGATAATATTGAGACCCATAGACTCGGTAATATGGAGACCCATAGAGTCAGGCAGAGACCCATAGACTCGCGCAGAGACCCATAGACTCGATAATATGGAGACCCATAGACTCAGGCAGAGACCCATAGACTGGATAATATGGAGACCCATAGATTCGGTCAGACTGAGCTGTGATGAAACCGGGTTCTCAAGTGTAGTGAGTTCATGTGCTCAGCCTGGCCACCAGCGACTGAAAGTTATTAATTTGTTGGTTTTACTGACAAAGCTCCAGCGAATTCCCCCGAGCGTGGGGATCAAAATCAAGCCCCTCACCAAGTTCCTGATGCTCACACGAGCGTTGAGGCATTGCTGCTCATTTTTTGTTTACAGCCCTGCAAGGCCAGGGGCAGAAATCCAACATTCCTATGACGGGGACGAGTCTATCCATCGGGCGGCCACTGTTGACTTCACCGCAACGCGTTGCTCGTTTTATCTGCACCGGAGGGAGAGATGATGATGATGGCAGCGGAGTCGACCCCAACCTCAATCGGGGGGTGTAAACTCGCGAAGTTCCAGATTGAGGATCGCTCGCTCTACCGCCGAGCCGCGGAGATGCCCGTGGACGTGAGCTTAGCAGCAGTCGCGTCACCACAGGGTGGTGCACTGCTCTCTGCCACAATTCCAGACAGAGTCGTCTGCATCTCGTGACGCGAGGCCCGCAGCGCACTGGGATTGATTGTATTTGACAAAAGGCCCGAGTTCGACCCACGCTCGCGGGCCAACAACGCCTCCTCTAGGTCGATTTGGCCTCAAATGTGTACCTGGTCCGGTGCGTATAAAGCAGGGGTCACCAAACTACGGCCCGCGGGCCGAATCCGGCCCGCGACGTCGGTCCATCAGGCCCGCCGACAGTACTTGAATTTGGTTGATGAAATGTATGGAACACGAGGCGTTGCGATACAATTTAAATTTAAATATGTTTAGAATACTAGGAGATCTTCACGCGTGCGGAGACCTCCTGACTGCTATGTTCCTTAAATGTACTATTTTAAATTATTGTATCTAGATTTTCTTGTTTGTTGTAATGTTTGCTTATTTCGCGTCATCCCAAGTACTTCCCCGGCTCGTGGTAGCTCCGCCTACGTTCTGACGTTACCATGGTTTCCATGGCAACGTCATAGCAACACGTTACCATGGTTTCCATGGCAACACACACAAACACGCATCTTTCCCGCCCCCAGATTTTCCAGCTGTCAACACAGGTTCCGACGCTCCAGAAATATTTATTTATTATGCGGCCCGCGCTCGTCATTCTTTCAGCTATCCGGCCCACTGTGAAAAAAGTTTGGTGACCCCTGGTATAAAGCATCAGCGCTTGGTGAGACAAAGGCATGCGGGTGGGCGGGTGGGCGTGGGGATGGCGACACCGCACAGTGAGTTCGTGAGCGGGCACGCTGGCGAATGCGTGCAATAGCATCTGTGCGTGTGGTGGGGAGCGGTGGCGCAGCTCTGAGCTATAACCGCTGCGCTACGATTCCGGCAACCCGAGTTCAATTCCCGCTCACGGCCACCGACACCCAGTGACGACTATCCGAACCGGTCCTGGACCCTCCCCTAGGCGCGGACTCAACGTTCGAATTCGTACTTTGGTGCGGTGTGTAAATATCAGCGCTGGGATGACAAAGGCGACCGGGCACGGCACTAGCCAACCCACCACCTTCTCGTGTGTTGTGCCGACCTTTACAGGTGCTGCTCACGAACAGCACAGTCTGTGTGGGCTATAGGGGGAAGGGGGTGGGGGCGGGGGGATCTTTGTCTTGTGCGTGCCAGCTGGAGTGAGGTGCATTGATCCGTGGATTCTGAAACCCGCATCGATTACCCAAAACCTAAGTGACGCACGCGTCAAATCTCGTGCACGCGAGACATCGGCGTCTTGTTGTCAAGTTGCTATACGTTGTATGTGGCGGGATCGCGCGAGCCATTTTAGCCAGCCAGTGGCCGCAACGTTGTCCGTGCCGTTGAGTTTTTCGCAGTCGCATCGCTCCGATTTGGTCGTCTCGCGAGAGAAGTTACCGCTCGCGACCTGCGCGGAGATTTTTTTTTTTTCGTCGTGGTTGGTGCTGCCGCCGCTGTTGCTGCTCCCTCCGACGCGCTTTCGGGACGGAGCCGTTGGGCACGGTGTCGGACGTTTCGCTCCGCGCGCCGGCTGGGGAGCTCGCGAGCGTCGCGCTCCTCGGCGTTCCCCTTGCCGTGCTGTGTTACGCTTCTGCCGATCCTGCGGAATAAACCTTTCTCTTTCTCTCTCTCTCTCCACCTTCAGCTTCCTGCACTTTTGTTTCATCTCTCCGCCTGGACTCTCTTGTTCGCGTCCTCTCCTGCCGCACTCTGCCCTCGCTCACAAACAGCAGCAGCAGCAGCAGCAGTAACGTCTAGGAGGCCTCACTCCTATACTCTGCTCAACCTCTCATCCTGCCAATCAACACACTAACCCCCTCATAAGGGATTGTGGGTTCGATTGCGTGAGTATGAATGTGTCGTAACCCTCCACCGCCCCTTCGTAGCCAGTAAGGTTTGTCACGTAAACAGAATTATCAGCGAACGTCGTGCTCAAATTGTAAATGTTGTGGATTTACTCCCCAACACACCGGTGGGCGGAAGTAGTAACTAATTGGCACGTTTTGTTTACGTGACAAACCTTACTGGCCGTGTCGGGTGGTGGAGGATTACAACACAAGATTTATATTCACGCGATCTAACCCAAAACACCTTTTTTTATTAATAATATTGGCCGCGTAAGCCTCCTACGCGTTAAACACACTAACCCCTAGCTTAGGATTGAGCCTGGTAAAGAGGCAGCAGTTTCTTAGGTGAGGCCTGTGTTGGGTGACACTGGGCCTGGGTGAGGCCTGTACCAAAGTGGGTGGCACTGGGCATGGGTGAGGCCTATGTCAGATAGGGGGTGACACTGGGCCTGTGCGAGGCCTGTGTCAGATAGGGAGTGGCACTGGGCCTGGGTGAGGCCTGTGTCAGATAGGGGGTGGCACTGGGCCTGGGTGAGGCCTGTGCCAAAGTGGGTGGAACTGGGCCTGGGTGAGGCCTATGTCAGATAGGGAGTGACACTGGGCCTGGGTGAGGCCTGTGTCAGATAGGGGGTGACACTGGGCCTGGGTGAGGCCTGTGCCAAAGTGGGTGGCACTGGGCCTGGGTGAGGCCTGTGTCAGATAGGGGGTGACACTGGGCCTGTGTGAGGCCTGTGTCAGATAGGGGGTGACACTGGGCCTGTGTGAGGCCTGTGTCAGATAGGGGGTGACACTGGGCCTGGGTGAAGCCTGTGTCAGATAGGGAGTGGCACTGGGCCTGTACCCAATAAACAAGCAATTTTTGTCCAATAATGCACATTTACTGTTAGCCACCTCCTGAGGTGCAAAACATCGGGACGTATCACATAGTTGGAAGAAGCAGAAAGTGTAAATCTATGGAGTGGTGGTGGGGAAGCTGCACGAGATTGAATTTCGGATGAATATTGTTATTGTTTAAAAAAATGTACGTGACTTGGAAAACAACCAGGGCCTTCAGTGTCCCCAGGAGAATTGGAGATTCGCCAGGGGGACGGCAGCTGCCTCGAGAAGAGGATGGGGGACTTCCCCCGGGGAGACAGGAGGCAGCTCCTCGGCACCAAAGTCCCCAAAACGCCAAGCGCGCGAGCAACAAAACATACAGCACGAGTATCATAGTTGTCTTGAATGGAACAAGGTTGTTTATTGTGAGAGCTTGACGGTGGTGGGGTGAGGGGAAACGTAGTGGTTGATGATGGTGATGTGGGAGTGGGGGGGAGGTGGGAAATACCAAAGTGGAGCTTTGCAGAAAGAAAGACGTGAGGTGACCTGCAGTGTGGTGGGCGAGTGGGTGGGTGGGTGAGTGGGGAAACGGTAGTGCATTGGTGTGGCGTAACGTGGTACGAGCCTGGCGAACCAAGTTCCATTCCCGTTCTCGGCCACCAACACCAGTGACGATTATCTGAACCGTTCCTGGGCTTCCTCTGGGCCTACTTGGCCTCGTATCAGTATCTGGTGCAGTGCATAAACATCACCACCAGCGAGACGAAGGCGGCCGGGCGAGGTGGTGGCCACCCCATCCCCTTCATGTGCTGCGTCGGCCTTCATAGGTGCTCATCGCTAACAGCACTTGCCCCGGAGACAGTCTGTGAAGGCTTACACGGGAGGGATCTTTGTCTTTCTTGTGTTATGTGTGTCTGGCTGCGTGGGGGTCTCAGGTGAGGAGATCTTTGAAAACGCGCACACGCACGCGACCCTGGGGCCCGCGGTAGACGCGGCAGCGCAAGACTCCGCTCCGCCGTGCCCCGTCACCTCCACCCCGTGCCCCGTCACCTCCACCCCGTGCCCCGTCACCTCCACCCCGTGCCCCGTCACCTCAACCCCGTGCGGCACGCACACCCCTCCACAGGTGAGTGTGCACACTCGCTGCACCACAGGTACGCACATATATTTGTGAGCACACCCCAGGCAGCAGTAGTGTAGCGGTTGGCGCACTGCTCGACGAATCCGGTAGACCCGAGTTCGATTCCCGCTCACGGCTACCAACACCGGTGATGCTTATTTGAACCGGTCCTGGGCCTCCCTTGGTCGACTCGGCATCAAATGAGTATCTGGTGCGGTGTGTAGTAAACATCGCCACTGGGGAGACAAAGGCGGTCGGGCGTGGTGCTGGCCATCCACCCTCTCGTGTACCCTGCCGGCCTTCATAGGTGCTCACTAACGGCACTTGCCCAAAAAGTGTTTTAATGCTGTACAGGTGATCTTTGTCTTTGTAGCGGTTAGCGTGCTGTGCTATGAACCAGGTGACTCCAGTTCAATTCCCGCTGACGGCTAACACCAGTGACAATTATCTCAACCGGTCCTGGAACTTCCCTAGGTCGACTCGGCCTCAAATGAGCGCCTGACGCGGTGTTTAAACATTGCCACTGGGGAGACAAAGGCGGTCGGGCGTGGTGCTGGTCCCCTTTGTGGGCCGTGCCGGCCTTCGTAGGTGCTACTCTCTTCACAGGACTTGGCCCAACAGGTCTGTGAAGGCTATACGGGTGAATCTTTGCCTTTGCGTGCACCTGTACGCGTGTCGCAGGTACGCCTGGTCCATGGCCACGCGTACGGCAGCCTGCTCGACCTCTGGGCCACCCCCGGGATCGTGGGAAGCCGTGGCGGGGAGGGTGAGGACACGGCGGAGAGCCCCGTGGGTGGCCCGCGGGGGGCCCGCACCCCCAGCAGGTGAGACCCTCCCCCTCTACCCCCCCCCCCCCACCACCTCTGCGGTGAGCGGCCCGCTGCCCCGCTCTCTCTAGGAGCGGCTGCGAGGGGTCGGACGCCGCCTGGAGGGGCAGCGCCGCCGAGTGTGCACGCAAACGATGAGCGGAGCGGGAAGTGGATAGAAATGTGGTAGCGGCGGCGGGGGTCAAAGTGTGGGCTCGCCCACCGCTTCTGACACGTACGTACGTGTGTGTACGTTGAACATCTTTAGCACCGTACGTAGCCAACCGTGCTAATCGGAGGTGCGGGAGAAGGACGACAAACTAAACCAAAAAACATCTGTTCAGCGTGGTTTGAACGAGCGCCTGTGACCTTTTATTTATCCGTTCGTTACGTTGTTTGGCCTCAGGGCTGCCGCTGTGCGGTCTGCCAATCGGTGCGTTCACGTCACGACTGAACCTCCACCGGGAGCGATTACCGCTGGTGCCGGGCTAGGTACACTTTTACGGCTCTGTGACCGATTCTGGAAGCGGTGCCCGGTTTAGCGGCGCCCACCACTAAACCGGGTGCGCACACCCACGTGTACACGTGCGTGCGTACACGTGCGTACACATGTCTACACATGTCTACACATGTGTACACGTGCGTGCGTTCCCTGTGTCTGACGCTGCAGGACCCAGGAGCCCCGCCAAAAGTTCACCCCTCCTCAGCTGCCACCACCCCCTGGCTGGGGCGGGGGGAGGGGCAAGTCCTGCGTCCCCAGTCCTGGCGACGGCTCCCCGCACCTCCCGGCCAGCGACACGACCCCTCCCGCCGGCGGCCACGAGGGGTCCCTTCCCACGCTCCCCGACCTCGCGTCCGGCTCCTCGTTCGCCGAGCTGACGACCGACGCCTTCTCCGTGACGGTGGCGACTGCGCTGCCGGCGCCGCCGGCGCGCGCCTCCTGGGAGCTCTTCGAGGACAGCGTCCTCGGCCTGTGGCTCGCGGGGAAGGCCGAGGGCGGCGTGGCGCAGGCCGGGAGCGACCAGGAGGAGCCGCATGCGTCGCCGGCGGCACCGGCGTCACCGTTGTGGGCCACGGGGCTGGCCTCGCCGAGCAGGCCTGAGCCGAGCACCAGTCTCTTCTCGTCGCCGTCCCCGCTGCGCACACGCCTGCACATCAGCCTGTCGGAGGAGGAGCTCGCGGCCAGCCTCTCGGACGACTCCGGGGTGCCGGGCCGGCGCGATTCTGCCGGGGAGCCCGAGGAGAGCCCCATGCGCTGATGCCGCCCGCCCCCCCCACCCGCTAACCGCCAACCGGCTGGGCCGTCCGCGTGTTGTGGAGCGCGGCGGAACGGAGTGGCTGGTGAGCATGCTGGGTTGGGACACGCGAGGCCACGTGGCCCAGAGCGTGGTTGTCTTGCCGAGCGTCCATCGACCTCGGCGTCGCCACGTGGCCGTCGCTCGTGGGCCTTTGCGTAGAATATGAACGGCGACGACACAGATTACATTTGTCTGGATAATGTTACTCTTTGTTTTTTTCGGTAAAGTCACGTAGATAAAATAAAATTTAAATAAAAGAACTAAATCAAATCGCGACGTTTCGGAGGCAACACAAGCTTCCGTCTTCAGGTGGAACAGTCACAGCAAGATAGCTGCAGCCAGTTTTTAGTTGTTTTCTTTTATTTTAATTTTATTTTATCTACGTGACTTTACCGAAAAAAAACAAAGAGTATGAATCCTTGCAGTCATGAAAGCTTCAAATCTAGAATGGATAATGTTAGTCTACGGGTAATGTTTGTCTATGGATAATGTTAAGTCTCTGGGTAACATTTGTCTACGGATAATATTTGTCTGGATATTCGTCTGAGTAATGTTAGTCTATGGGCAGTGTTAGTCTATGGGCTGTGTTAGTCTATGGGCTGTGTTAGTCTATGGGCAATGTTAGTCTGGGTAATGGCCCTTGTCTCTGAGCCATGTTCTTTCTCGAAGAGGTTGGCTATCTTGACTTCCTTCCATTTAGCTCTGTCCATGACATTTACTCAACTGCCTCCCAGTTGCATCTGATCATTCACATTGCCCATGGAACTCATTTCAAGCCCCACATTTATACTCAGCTTGACATTTTCCTCTACTATACGTACAAGAAATCTAACTTTGCCCGTCTCGAATTATTCTCAACAATGATCTTGTAGTTGTACAGGGACTCCTCTACTTTGGAACGAGTTAAGGTTCCAGAGGTCTGTTCGTCATTCGCTATGTTCGTTATTCCAACTTTACTCCTGTCGATTGCAAACATGTTTTACAGCATGTACACTAAACATGGGGGAATGGCTTTAAACGTTTTATAATCTCCTGTAGATGTAGATACCACCGGCTCTTCATGTTCTGCCTATGTAGATGCCACTGGTTCTTCATGTTCTGCCGATGTAGATGCCACTGGTTCTTCACGTTCTGCAGATGTAGATGCCACTTTTTATTCACATTCTGCAGATGTAGATGCTACTGGTTCTTCACATTCTGCAGATGTAGATACCACAACTCTAGGTCCGAACTGGCAACTGAACATACGGACTTGGTTTGTTCGCATCTTTGAAAGTTCTTAAGTCGAATGTTCGTAAGTAGATGAGTACCTGTACACGTAACTCTGCTGCTCTCCTACGACGCATTCGTATTGTGAAGTAAAACAAAACACTAAGACTATTTTTGTGCACACCCCATCAGCCGCACAGAGAGGACCCTTGGCCGATAAACGCGTGGAACCGTGCCGGTAATTGGTTAAAGCGAAAGCCCGGCTCTGCTGACGAAACGTTGAACCTTTAAACCGCTCCCTGTGGGTTGTGCTCCCTTTGAACTGACAACGCCAAAATTATGCTGCTGCTCCCAGGTGTAGGCCTCGGCAAGGTAAGAGGTAAAAACGACGAGCCTACCTTTACCCTACCTTTTACCCTTGCCACAATACAATCACTCTACCCTGACCTTTTACCCTTTAACAAGGTCAGATAAAAGGTCAAAAGCAGTGAGCCTACCTTTACCCTCCCCTTTACCCTTACCCCATACAAATTACCCGATTACAGGGTAATTATTGGCGTATTACTACACATGAAAAAGGTTTGTAACAGGTAAATGCTAGGTAGAGCGCTTTATTCATATAGAACACTCTCAATGATTCCAATTTTAAATGGAGGCCACGCACTGCGCCACGAACCTTGTAGCGAGCGGTAAATGAGGCGTTTACTGTAAACAAGGTATTTACGGTAAACAACGTGTTTACGGTAAATGAGGTATTTTACCGGGTAATACTTTGCGCTACCTTTACCCTAACAGGTAATTCTTCCGCGCTACCTTTACCCTACCCTTTACCTTACCCCTTGGCATGTCGACACCTTTACCCGGTAAAAAGGGTAAATTACCTTAACTTGCCTTGCCGAGGCATACCCAGGAGGAAGGCTGTGCAGCTGATGGGATGTGTAAAATGTTTTATTTAATATATTTTAGATTAATGATTGGATGGAGGGATTTGCCTGCGTGTCGCGTTCGGCGTTAACGCTGCGGGGACGGGGAGCGCCTCCGTGCGGCGGCTTAGTTTACAATATTACAGTGGATGTGGGTTGGGGGGGGGTGGTGACGGTGACTTGGAAGTGGAGAAAGTGCCCGAGGTGGTGACTGGTAAAGAGTGCCTGAGTGGAGAAGGCAACTGGGAAGTGGAGAAAGTGCCTGGGAAGTGGAGGTGATTGGAAAGTGGAGAGTCCCTGAGTGGAAAAGGTGAATGGGAAGTGGAGAAAGTGCCCGAGTTGAAGTGATTGGTTAGGAGTGCCTGGGTGTAGAAGGCGACTGGGAAGTGGAGAGGGCGACTGGGAAGTGGAGAAGGTGACTGGGAAGTGGAGAAGGCGACTGGGAAGTGGAGAAGGCGACTGGGAAGTGGAGAGTTCCTGAGTGGAGAAGGCGACTGGGAAGTGGAGGCGACTGGGAAGTGGAGGTGATTGGAAAGTGGAGAGTTCCTGAGTGGAGAAGGCGACTGGGAAGTGGAGAGTTCCTGAGTGGAGAAGGCGACTGGGAAGTGGAGAAGGCGACTGGGAAGTGGAGGTGATTGGAAAGTGGAGAGTTCCTGAGTGGAGAAGGCGACTGGGAAGTGGAGAAGGCGACTGGGAAGTGGAGAAGGCGACTGGGAAGTGGAGAAGGCGACTGGGAAGTGGAGAAGGTGACTGGGAAGTGGAGAAGGCGACTGGGAAGTGGAGAAGGCGACTGGGAAGTGGAGAAGGCGACTGGGAAGTGGAGAAGGCGACTGGGAAGTGGAGAAGGCGACTGGGAAGTGGAGGTGCCCGAGTTGAGGTGACTGGTAAGTGGAGAAGGCAACTGGGAAGTGGAGGTGACTAGGAAGTGAAGAAAGTGCCTGAGTTGAGAAGGCGACTGTTGAGCGGTGACTTGAGCGGAGGTGACCGAGTGAATTTTGGCGTCAGCGGGTTGGTGCAGGGCATCTGGGCTGGGGCCGACACTGCGCCAAGTGAGGTTGTTACTATTGTAGTGGCTCAGGAACCAGAGGAGAACGTATGTGAGGCAACACAATATTTATTTAACTGTACTGAATACAAGGTCCTCAACACAAAGGGGTAACGGCCCCTTTCACCCAATACCTAAGGAGTTATGTCCTCCGGGCTACACTGCCTCCTAACACTGGGAGCACGCTAGCTCTGAGCCCTCCAGCTAGGGGCCTAGGGGAGCCCACGCTGACGCGACTGTCCCAAGGTCTCCGGGTCTTGACCGCTGGCCTCACTGAGCTCCGGCCCTCAGGACAGCGGAGCTTGGGGTCAAGGGTCCTATCTTCAGCTCCGTCTTCGGTCTTCAGCTTTGAGATGACCGAGCCGGACCCGTTAGAGGTCCGGCTTATGTACAGGTCCGTGGCTTGCTCCGCCCTAGCCACGCCTCCCTTTCAGAACCTTCTGGAAGGTGACATCATCACCCAGTTCCCCCTCCCGGGGTTTGGGGATTTGTGTCCCAGGATCCGTTTTCCCAGGGATTGGCGTTGGCCCCTTGAGCCATGATCCTTGACACTGGCGTGACCCCGCTTCTGCCTCCTGTTGACGAGAAGGGGGAGCTCCCCACTAACAGCATGGGGAGTGCCGATTAATGCCTCGCCACTACTGTGGAGCTTTGTTGCTCGTGAGGAGGCTCCGGGCGAGGTCCGCCTTGTGAGCGTGCGATTACACTCGTGCGGTGAGAGCCCAGTGCGGATGGAATAAAGGAAGCAACCACGGGCAGGCTGCGGTGTGACCCTGGGAATTTGAGATGATGCTGCTGGTGGTGATGATGGTAATGGCCGTAATTGTGATGGTATTGGCTGATGCAGTCATTGACGATGCGTATTCAAATTATGCTTGTGATTTAACTCGTGGGTATCCAAAGCGAATAACCACGATTCCCGGTTGATGTGTGTGGGTTCTAGGTTGTGACACGTTAGGTGATGTACCAGGCTAGGGTCAAGGGACAGACCCTGGCAGGTGCTATGCAAATCACCCGTGCTCCCCACTTTGCTGCGTTTTATCCGCCTGGGCGCTGCGCCCCGTTGTTGTTAGCGTCGCCGGCCCACACCCCGCGCTCTCTCTGCCGCGACACTCAAGACTCTGCTCATCTCATACTCGGCCTATTTTTATTAAAAAATGGGGGACGAATCCGTTCGACAGACCTATGAAGTGAATTATTTACAAAAACAAAAGCAACTTGTCAAAAAAAATGATCTTGAACAGAAAAAAAACGAAATAACGGAGGAGAGAGAACGCGCGGTACAAATCAAAACTCGGAGCGGAGAAGGCAGCTACTCTACACGCGGGGTACACACACGAGGTGGTGGTGACAATGATGGGGGGGGGGCTGGGAAATGGAGGCACGCACTGAGGAAGGGGCGAGAGAGGGGAGGTGCTGAAGGAATGAGGTTAGGAGCCATAGAGGGGGTGAGGCAGATCGGTGGGACGGGTGGCAGTAGCTCCAGACCTAGCCCAGGACGCTGCGTGCGGTGGTGCCCTGACCACTCGCCCAACCATCCAGGGGTTGGGGCAGAGCTATGGATGATGCAAACATGTAAAACGGACAAAGCAGCAGCGGCTAAGCATCCTATTCATACGAATCCATGTGTGGATAACGGGGGGGCGGGGGGGGGGTCTCACTCCACGCCTAACATTTTGTACAAGGCAGGGCCGGTTGGGTGGTTGCATGAAGTTACCCCGCGAGAAGAATACCTCTGGTCAATCTGGTTCAGGTGGGAGGGACGGAGCCTCTGGTCCTCCCACGTGGCGCTGACTACGGGGTGGGGGGCATAGAGGGGCTCCCAGGATAGCCACGGAGGGCGCGTGGTTGAATTTGCAGCTGCAGGGGAGACGCGAGAAGGGAGGTTGGTTGGGTATCAAAAAGGGGGGAACGGTAGGGAGAGAGACGGGGGTCGCAAGGGAGAAGTCGGTGGGGAGAGAGAGGAAAGGGCGGAGGGATACGAAGGGAAGGAGGAATGGAAGAGATGGGGGGGGGGAGAGATGGGGAGACGCGGGAGAGGTAAGGGGGCACAGGGTGAGACGGAGACTGATGGAGAGATATGGCTGGGGGGGGGGGGTAAGAGACGCGGGGACAGACGGCGAGACAGGGGAGGGGTGGGTTGGGGGGGGGGGGGTAAGACACACGGGGTAGAGAACCGTACGCAACCGAAAAAACGACGATAAAATATAAGAATAATAACAACAGTGAGACGATGCCACCCTCCCACCACCACCACCGTCGTCGTCGTCACGATATAAGGACAAATCACTACGAACGCGAGAATTCGGAGACGCGAGGGCGAGGAGGGTGGGGGGGGTCACAGACCCCCGCCTCGGACCCTCGCCACTCCTGGACTGCGACGGGCCAACTCAGACCCAGAAAGGCCCTTAACATAATAACTTCCATAGACAACACCTCTCCCCCACCACCCGTGCCTCCCCCACCCCACCCACACCCCCCCACCCACACCCCCAGACCTCGAGTCGTCTTTCAGTCGTTCGGAGGGTACCCCCCCCCCCCACCCTCCGAACCGCAGCGCAGTGGGTTTCACGGTCCCGGTCAACCCCGCGCCCTTCGCGTCGCCAACCGAGCAACAACCTTCAGCACCACCACCACGACGACCCGGGATGCACACACTCAACCCCTACTCCCCTAGCAGCACCTCTCGTACCATGAGGGGCGCGGGCAGCTGGTCGCCACGCCGAGCACACCCCCCCCCCCCCCCCCAAATCTCCGGCACCACCACCACCGCCTAACCCCACTGCGCCTGCGGCTACCCAGCCAACACCGCTCCCAGCAGCAGCGGGGATTCCGCCTGAGGAGGAGGGGGGGGGGGTAGGGGCACCGCTCTGAGTAGGTGCAAGTAGTCTCGGTGGGGGTTCTGGGGCGAGAGCTCTCATTGTGTTTTTTTTTTAAATGCAACCGTCAGCTGTGCAGGAGGAGACATTCAAACCACGGCACACACACGCACGCTGCCCCCCCCCCCCCCCGCGAACCCCAAAGCCCGAACTCTTAAGCTCGCTCCCACGTGTAAGAGGAGTAACAGCCGCCGGAGAAACAGATTTTTACGTCACCGTCGTAAAGAATTGCTCAGGGGTGGGTGGGTCTGTGGGTGGGTGTCCGAGCGCAGCAGAGGTTAAGGGTGGCGAGGGTTTAGGGTTGGGAGTAACAGACCCCTCCCCCCCCCCCCAACCAGCGAGTCCAAGCGCTACGACCGCACGCATACCCGCATCCTGTGCCAATCTTGCCCCCCCCCCCCGTGTACAAAACACTCCGGGGGGGGGGGGGTGTGGTGGGTTGGAGGGGCGTCAATCGAAATAAAAAAAGTTCTAATCTATTCACCAAAACGGGTGCCCCGTCTCCAAAGCGGAGGACCCCCCCCACCACCATCACCACCACCACCCCGCCGGGGCTGACGTGTCATGGTTAAATGGGACTACAAAAGCCCCCACCCATTTACCATGATGATGGGGGGGTGGGTGGCGTCACATGATTGACAACGAGAAGGGATCGATTCTCTGGAGGAGGGCGAGAGGACGCGTGCCCGGTGCCGTCGGTCCATTGGCTGCTGCGATGGCGTGCGTCCAGGTGAGGCGAGGCTCCACGCGCTTCAACTCGTACCAGGTCCATCAAATTCCTGGAGAGGGTGGGGGGCTGGCTTCTGTCTATATCCTCCACAACCACATCATCGACTATTGTGGACAACTCGTTGCTTGGCCTAGCTACGGCGAGCGGGGGGGGAAAGGGGGCAAATCGTCACTTGCCTAACTGGTTCCCGGTTAGGCAAGCGACATCCTCCGCGTGAGATTCGAATCGTCGTTTCAAAACCGACCCCGTCCCCCCACCCCTCATAACCACGACCGAACTAGGGTCCACAGGGGTCATCGGGTCGGCATCTCCTGAGACCCAGGAGGTTTAACCGAACGGGCCCCCCCCCCCCCCCCCCCCCCACACACCCCTCGGGGGCTCGTTGGTGCAGGGAGGCAAACCCCCGCAGCTGGTGCATCGCCATCGCCGGGAGCGCACGCCGGCAGCATCGTCGTAATTGTCACTAAAAGCCACCTTCCCTCCTCTTCATCGTAAACGTAAAAATTGACTCTGGGATGGATGACGACGATGACTCCTCCCGCGGCGACGGAGGAGAGCGGCTGCATGCCCCAGCGCGACGCGACCGCCCGCCCGCCCGCGCAGGGAAGGATCCACTTCACCAGAGCGACTCGCGCGCCGACCACGCAACTCGCTATCGTCGTGCTCCTCCTCCTCCTCCTCCTTACCCAGCACCGGAATCTAAAAATCTCGGGTTCACCACGCAGGTAGAGTAGGGGGGGGGGGGGGGGGAGTGGATGCAAGCACGTGTGTTGTGGCATTGAGATGGGGGGGGGGGGAGGGGGAGGATAGTGCGGTGGCGGTGGTCAAGATCACGGTGACCGACAAGTCCAGGATGTGGGGCAGAGCGACCCCGCCAACGCCGTGACACAGCTCACACCGCACCAACAGCACCGGGCCCAAACGGCATCGGCACGCAACCCCAATCATCATCACGACCACCGTGGTTGGCCACAGTGGCACCACACCTCAGGCCCACGTCGCCACCCAACCCCAACCCACCATCACCGCGGACACTGCGAAACCGCGTGCGGTGAAGAGGCGGTTGTCGCAACCCTCCGATAACATCGCGGCGCACGGCACGGCCGGGTCGGCACGGCACATCACGCAACTCGTGCGGGGGGTGGCGGGTTCCCGCGGGGTTCCGATATCTCAGATATAGTTTAGTTTTTTTGTCTACGTTTTTTTTTTTTAAAAGGAAATTTCCGTTTAATTCGGAATAACAAGAATAACCAGAGCGATAACGATCGTCATAATAATAATAAAAAAAATGAAACCACAGCGGTAATGAAAGCGTCACCATGCACGATCTAAAAAGGAATAAAAAGCCGACGGTCGTCACCTCTTACATTTTGTTTAAAACCTGCGGCCCTCCCGCGGTGGCTCGGAGGTGCCCCGTGGGGGGAGGGGGGCGGTGGAGGGTGGTGGGGGGACGTCACTCGACCACCCCACACCCCCCCCCCCGCCTCGCCATTCCCCCCCCCCCCCCCCCCCCAACCGCCAGTGCGCGAGGACTCGCCGACGATTCCCAAACTCGGCAGCCCCGGGCAGCTGCGCCCGTTTGATTCGCGCTCTCAACCCGGCGCTCGCGCGGGCGACCGGCGGCGCTCCCCACTCCTCGGCCACCCCCCAACCCCACCCCCACTTTCCCCCCCCACCATCTCCCTCCCCTCCCCCCCCCCCCCCCCCCCGGGGAAGGCCGCCACCCCAAGCACCGCCGCGTGACCACTGAAGCCCTCACGGATCGGCGGCGTCGCGCGGCTCGGCAGCGGGGGGGGGGGGTGCCGAGGAAGCGGAGACGCCGCGGGGCGGAGGAATGGCGTCCCCGGGGCGGAGGATGGCGTCCCCGGGGAGGCGGTCGCGGCGCTGGCGAGCGTCGTGACGGAACGGGCGGGGCACCGAGCGAAGGGGGGGGAGGGGGGGGGGGCGAGCGAGAGCACCATGGTTGTCGCGACGCGTCGCGCGGGGAAGTGGCGCCGCGGTCGTTGTCGGGGTGGGGGGTGCGACAACGCGCGCGGTCGTGACGCGGGAGGGCCGAACGGCACGCGGGGGGGGGCCAGGATTGGTGGCGGGGGGGTGGGGCGGGGTGGGGCGGGGTGTGGGCGATGGTGGGGGGGAGCACGAGCAGGGGGCCCAGGGCTTCACTCGGAGTCGCTGGTCTCCGAGGAGCTGGAGCCGCTGGAGCTGGAGCTCTCCGAGGCGGAGGAGCTGCTGCTGCTGGCGCTGAGACGGCCGCCGGCCTCGCCCCCACCGTCTGGGGAAAGTGCAGCAGGCATTAGGACACGCGCAACTGACTACGGGCTGTTGGGGCGAGTGCTGTTCGGGAAGCATCGATGAAGGCCGGCACGGCACACGAGCGGGTGGGTGGCCAGCACCACGCCGGGCCTCCTCCGTCTCCCCAGTGGCAAAGTTTACCACACACAAACGCACCAGGTACTCATTTGATGCGGAGTCAACTTAGGGGAGGCCCAATCACACAGAAAGGACGCAAACACCGCTTTTCCACTGGCACACCCGGGCACCGGCAGCGCCTTCACGGCACGGGCGGTAACCCACCAGCTATTTGCTGCGCCGAGCCCAAACCAAACCCATGTTGAGGACTCATCTAGTCCACAATGTTCAACCGCCACCACCACATTGCAGGTCACTACACACTGCTCTTTCTGCTTATCCAACTCCCACTGTTCCATTATCTTAGACCGGACTTACGACATTTCTAGACCGCCCACCCCCCCTCGCCCCCCCCCCCCCCCCCACCACTGTCGCACCTTTCTTGGGCTTCTTGGCCGTGGCGCCAGCGGCGGTGGCGCCGGTTGCGCCGGGGTTGAGCTGTCCGCTCACATCCTGCAGTCGCTTCTCCAGCTCCCGCTTCTTCTCCTGGATCTCGGCCTTCAGCTTCCCCGCCTTCTTACCTGCTCACACAAACACGCGCACAGAGACGCACGCACGCACGCACACACGCACGCGAAGAACGGATTCATTGGTGGACCGCATACAAATGTTGCCAAACTGCCTTCCCATAGGCGTCCCAGGAGGGGCCGTACACCCAGGCTCGCCAGGAGAAGGCGGTAAGGCAAAGGTGTGGACCAATCTCCATCTGTTGTTCCAACAGGCCTCAATAGCCTGCTGCTCGCATAACAGCGCTTACCCCAACGGTCTGTTAAAGGCTACACGGGGAACTCTTTGTCCCACGCGCGCGAGCCACGGGCACAAGCCGGCGGACTCACTGAAGGGCTTGCTGGGCTTCTTTCGCAGGCACGACACGACGTATCGCTCGAGCTCGCGCAGCGTCGACGGCTTGAGCGTCTCGAAGTCGATCTCGATCTCGTCGGGGTTGGACTCGCGCAGCGAGGGCTCGCGCGACTGGATGATGTGCACCACGCGGCCCAGCTTGTCGCCCGGCAGCTTGTTGATGTCCAGGCTCAGCTGACGCTTCTCGTCGTAGGTCATCGGCCGCGAGTCCTCCTCCTCGTCCGAGTCGAAGGCGGGCGCCGCCGCGGCCGCGCCGCCCGCACCGCCGCCGCCGCCGCCGCCGCCCCCCGCGGAGGCCGCGCCTGCCTTGGCCTTCCGGGTCGGCCTGCATGGGCATCGCGAGAGACGGTGGTGAGGGGGGGAAGGTTGGCGGGTAGCGGAGGAGAGACTCGTGTCACCGGTGGTGGGGGGGGGATGCGCGGGTCAATGACACGGTTGGCGCCTACCCCGCAAGTAAGTTAGTGCTCGTGCCATTCCTGCAGCGCTGCGGTGTCACGAAGGAGGGCAGCACACCGTGCTTCACAGGCAGATGTAGACTGCCAGTCGGGGGCGATGTTGCCGTGCCCAAAGTACTTAGCCGCGTCGTTTTTCAAACATGGACAACCACACAATGGCCTGCTACTCGTAAAAAAGAAAAAAAAATTCCCCCACAGGATCCATAACGGCCACTGCGAAGCAGGACAGTGCACGTATATTTGTGCAGTCAACGCACCGCACCGATAACCAGGGCGTGTCCTGCCAGATCCGAACCACGAGCCTCTGCTACAAAGCGGTGGACGCGCGACCGCAGGGACACGTCACCAGCGCGTCGCCGGAAAAAACCACGCCGCGTCTCCCGAGCCTTCGCCAGGGGCCTGCGGGCGCGCGGGTTCGACCTGCGCGGCTCGCTTGCGCCGGTTGAAAAATAAAAAAAACTGAGGTGACGAAGCAGGGAAGAAGCTGGCGGCCGTCGTGTCCACCGAGGAGGAATCAAAGGGGGATACGGGGGTGGAGATTAACGAGGAGTGAGGGGGGTTACGAGTGGGTGGGTGGGTGGGTGGGCGGGGGGTGTTACACGGCAACCCAACCGAGGCGACGGGCATCGGCCCTACCTGCTCGCGGCCGTGCCGGTCTTGGCGGGCGCCGCCTTCTTGGGCAGCCCTGGCTTGGCCTTGCCACCCTTGGCGATGGCGCCGCCGCCGCCGCCGCCCTTCTTGTCGCCCTCGTCCGCCTCCTCCTTCTTGGCCTTGTCGGCCGCCTTGTCCTTGCGCTTCTTGTCCTTGTCCTTCTTCTCCCGCTTCTTCTTCGGCTTCGACACGGGAGGCTGCGACAGCGCCGCCAGCTGCTCGTGCAGAGCCTTTAGCTGCTCGGGAGGAGGGGAGGGAGGGCGGGGTGGGGGCGGGGGCAGTGTAACGGGAGCAGGGGTCGTGCAGGGCGGGATGGGAGAGGCGACACGGAGCACAGTTTTTGGACAGCAGGAGCGGGCGAGGCCACAGCGGGCGAGTGGACGTTGGGTCGTACGGACGCGTGTCGGTCGCGTGTCATCGTCACGTACGACGACGACGATGATGACGAAGTCGTACATATGCAAAAGGTGTTTGCGTTTCTTATAACCCGGTAAGTGCGTTAGTGTGTAAGCCTTACGCGAATAGCACAACCGTGCTTTAATCATTCCGAGTGAGACCCCCCCCCCCCCCCCACTGCTAAACTGATCGCTGGTTGTCTTTTTAAACTATTTTCATTTTACCTGGCAAGGCCCAATGAGCTATAGCTCAGTGGGGTGCCATTGAGGGGTCACTGTTCCCATGAGGAGGGGGTCACCGTGCCCTGGATCAGGGGGTCACCGTGCCCTGGAGGAGGGGTTCACCGTGCCCTAGAGGAGGGGTCACCGTGCCCTGGATCAGGGGGTCACCGTGCCCTGGAGGAGGGGGTCACCGTGCCCTGGATCTGCCGGCCGGGGTTTAGCCCGGCAGTACCATCACGCCTCATCCTATTCGGCACATCCCTCGATGCATTGCACGGATCTCTGGTGATTAATGGAGGGTGGATCACCCGCCCATCACACGGGATCAGGGACCCCACTCTCCACTGTGGTGATTGCGAGCGCGGCCACAACGATGAGCGGGGCAAGGTCAACGCACAGTCACACGCGTGGACAGGCAGGATAGGACGGTGGACAAATAGGTCAGTGGACAAGCAGGACGGTGGACAAACAGGCAAGTGGACAAGCAGGACGGTGGACAAACAGTTGAGTGGACAGGCAGGACGGTGGACACACAGGGGAGTGGACATGCAGGACGGTGGACACACAGGTAAGTGGACATGCAGGACGGTGGACAAACAGGGGAGTGGACATGCAGGACGGTGGACACACAGGGGAGTGGACATGCAGAACGGTAGACACCAGGCGAGTGGACATGCAGAACGGTGGACACCAGGCCGGTGGACACCAGGCGAGTGGACATGCAGGACGGTGGACACACAGGTGAGTGGACATGCAGGCCGGTGGACACCAGGCGAGTGGACAAGCAGGACGGTGGACACACAGGTGAGTGGACATGCAGGACGGTGGACACACAGGTAAGTGGACATGCAGGACGGTGGACACACAGGGGAGTGGACAGGCAGGACGGTGGACACACAGGTGAGTGGACATGCAGGCCGGTGGACACCAGGCGAGTGGACAAGCAGGACGGTGGACACACAGGTGAGTGGACATGCAGGACGGTGGGCACACAGGTGAGTGGACATGCAGGCCGGTGGACACACAGGTGAGTGGACATGCAGGACGGTGGACACACAGGTAAGTGGACATGCAGGACGGTGGACACACAGGGGAGTGGACAGGCAGGACGGTGGACACACAGGGGAGTGGACATGCAGGACGGTGGACACACAGGTGAGTGGACATGCAGGACGGTGGACACACAGGTGAGTGGACATGCAGGCCGGTGGACACCAGGCGAGTGGACAAGCAGGACGGTGGACACACAGGTGAGTGGACATGCAGGACGGTGGACACCAGGCGAGTGGACAAGCCGGACGGTGGACACCAGGTAAGTGGACAGGCAGGACGGTGGACACACAGGTGAGTGGACATGCAGGACGGTGGACACACAGGTGAGTGGACATGCAGGACGGTGGACACACAGGTGAGTGGACAAGCAGGACGGTGGACACACAGGTGAGTGGACATGCAGGACGGTGGACACACAGGTAAGTGGACATGCAGGACGGTGGACACACAGGTGAGTGGACATGCAGGACGGTGGACACACAGGTGAGTGGACATGCAGGACGGTGGACACACAGGTGAGTGGACAAGCAGGACGGTGGACACACAGGTGAGTGGACATGCAGGACGGTGGACACACAGGTAAGTGGACATGCAGGACGGTGGACACACAGGTAAGTGGACATGCAGGACGGTGGACACACAGGTGAGTGGACATGCAGGACGGTGGACACACAGGTGAGTGGACATGCAGGACGGTGGACACACAGGTGAGTGGACATGCAGGACGGTGGACACACGTGCACGTACACGCACACAAGACACCTGCTCCTGTAGCTCGGCGAGGCGGTTCGCTCGCTCCTTCTCGCTCTCGTCCGAGCTCTCGCTCTCCGCGCTGCTCTCCTCGGTGCTCTCGCTCTCCGAGGTCGGCAACACCGGCTCGGGGGGAGGGGGTGGCGCCGCGGGGGGCTGGGCTGGGCTGGCGCCACCCCCGGCCTCGTCGGGCATCTTGGCGAAGCGCATTTCGAACATGTCCTGGGCAAAAAGACAGATCCCCCCCACCACCCCGCGTGCGCTTGAACGGGCCCGCTGGGGCAAGCGTGCGCTCGCGAGCAGCGCCGACGGAGGACCGGGCCACGGCTCGCAAAGGGGTGGGTGGCCAGCAGCAGCACCACGTCCCGGGAGCCTTTGTGATACGCCACTCTGTTCAGCCATCATTTGCGATGGCCAGGTCACTTATGAAAAATAAGTTAATACCTCAGTGGGTTTTTGCCTGGTAGGATGGTTTAGTTTGATTTGTACGTGTTTGGAAGATTTGTTTACCTTTCCTTGTACTTTACACTACTATCAAGTTTTTGTATTGTTTGTTGTTACGTTCTTACCCGCCCTGACTGGACATCTGTGAAAAAGGGCTTCATAGGTCATCGCACTCCTCCTCCTGCAGTGTAAATAAATATTCTTATTCCGTTTCCGTTGACATGTAGCACCAGGTCATCATTAACGACTAACTCGACCTAGGGGAGGCGGCCAAGCACGGCGAGCGGGAATTTAACTCGGGTCGCTGAGATCGAAGCAGTGTGCTAACCACTGTGTGCTGCCGCTACTCACACACGGCACCACCACCGCCGCCACCACCATCACACCACTGAGATGACGGTGGAGTAAATGGGAGCAGGTGGCACTTATTCTTTTGTTTTTTCTATTTATAATATTGAGCACAGGCCCAAAAAGCCCACAACATCACGTGGCGAACAACAAAAGGGATATTGAGAGCAGTAGTATATAAAAGTGTGGCAAGGGCCATAAATTGAGCAACGTTTTTACGAGCGACGGGGGGGGGGGGGGGGGGGGGGGGGGAAATGGACTATAGGAGGGAATTCCAAAATGGAGCGGTGAGAGGGAAGAAGCAGGTCGACAAGGGAGGTGACCTGCAGTGTATGGCATGCAGTGGCACCTGTGTGGCTCCCAGTGGCTGGCTGTGTACCTGCAGCTTGCGCGCCATGGCCACCACCTCGTGGTCGGGCGGGTTGTACTTGTAGCAGTTGGAGAACATGAGACGCACGTCGCTCGCAAACTCCTGCGCGTCCTGGTACTCGCGCCCGTCCATCTTGTGCTGCGCAGAGCGGGAAATCGTCGTCGTCATCATCATCATCATCGGCCACGGTCAATCCACTGTTGGATGAAGTACACCCAATGGCGTCGCCGCACGCCCAGCACCTACCTGGGCACACGAGTTGATTTCACCGTTCCATCTCCCTCAGGTGGACGATCTCTCTCGGACACGTTCTGTTCCGTGGTTGCCGCTCCGTTATTACTTTCGACCGTCGGCCATCGTCCCTTCTGGCCGTGGACGCATCCTGAACCGAGCCCTGTCGACTTTTGTTCACACTTTGCAAGGCGTCATTTAACCTGCGTGCCTTCTCTGAATCCGTGCGTGTTCTTCTTTTCGTCTCTCGGTGTAATGCCACGCATGCTTCATCATCATCGTCATGGTCCATCCACTTCTGGATGAAGATCATTATCGTGCCATTCACCAGTGTGTGTTCCCCAATCAGCGTGTGCCTCTGTTTCAGTCTAATTGCCAGCATGCGTCTCTCCGCGTGTCGCTGCGCATAGTTCACCTTCTGTTCGTTACGCTTGGCGAACGACCGCGATCTTTCTGAACCAAGCTTCACGGCAGGCTGCCGTACGCCTACTGACTCAACACGACCTATAAACTATTTAAACTGTTTTTATTTTATCCACCGAGCTACATTGCTCTTTTTCAGAAGCGACCTGGCCACAAATGAAAGCTCAACAAAAAGTGGCTCATCATCGGGTGCAAATTTATAGCAGCAGCCAAATACTCTAAACGCACGTCAATTCTAAATGTGGGGAGAAAAAAAACCACGGAGGACCCGGAGAGAAAAATCCACACAACCACGCGGAAAGAGACACGCAAACTCCAAATATACAACAGGCATCAGGGTCGGGATCGAACCCACGACCACCTGCATACCAGGCGAGGAATGCCCCGCAGGCCGCATCGCTAGGGTATAATACATCCCACACGTTGGAAGCCGAGCATCCCGCAACCGCTCCCCCGCCACCTTGCTCTCATCTACCTCTTTCGTTTCATCGAACTTTGAGCCCCGCGGTCCGTGTTACAACAGCTGCCCGCTGGCTCCAACGCCACTCTGTCGCGTCTCTCTCTCTCTCTCTCCCGACTGGCGCCTCCACTTATCGGGCTAATGCGCTGCAACGCGGCGACTTTCTGCGTTCGCTCCGGTTTGTGCCGAACTCCACTTGGCAGCCTGGGCCCAGCCCTGGTGTCGGCAACTTTTGGCTCTTCGACGAGCGCTTCGTGATGTTATTTATTGAGGGCCACCGCCTCTCGTATTCTCATGTGCATTGGCAGCTCTCGAAATAGTTTTTTTTACCAAATAAAAAAAAATGGCTCTTCTTGCGATTTTGGTTTGCCGTGCATAGCCACCAGAGCCAACACTCAATATGGAACGCTTGCGCCGAGCAAACTCGCACGTCGAACGAGCGAGCGGGCGCCAGGGAAAGGGCGAGGGCGACGCGAGCGTCTCACCTTGATGGTGCTGAGGTCCATGGGGTGCTTGATGATGTCGTGGTAGTCGTGCAGGCCCAGCGCGTCCGCGTCCACAGGCTTGTAGAAGGGCCATGCGTAGGCCGCGTGCTTCTTGGCGAACATCTCCTTCAGGATGGAGCTGCAGTGCTTCAGCTGCTCCGGCGCAGGCAGTTTGCTCTTCTTGCTGGCGGGCGGGGACGGGACGGAAGCCGCCACGGCCGCGGCTGCCGCGGCCGCCACGGCTGCCGCTGCCGCCGCGGCGGCGGCGGCAGCTGCCTGCTGCGAGTCGGGCATCTCCTTGCGGGCCTTGCCGCGACCGCCCTCCTTGCGGGCGGGCGCCTTGGTCGGTTTGAAGTCGGCGGCGGCAGGAGGGGAGGCCTCGCCGCTCTCGGGAGGCGTGGTGCTCGGCATGGGCGTGGTGGTGTCAGCTTTCCGCTTCACGCCCTTCTTCACCTGCGACAAGGGAGGCGAGGGGACGCACACAGGGGATGCTGGTGGGATCACTCGGGGAGCTTCCAGCGGCCGCCGACGAAGAGAGGTCACGCGCGGCGGTGTGCATCCACCCGTACACATGCGTGTGCGTAGCCAACCGTGCTAATTTTAATGCCTCCCGTGCGCGCGGCATGCACGGTACGTTACGTGCACAGACGGTGCGGTGGAATTGTGGGTGGCGAGAACGTGGTTGGCTCATGGGTGGCGAGCATGCTTGAGTGTGGGATGGAGGGTGACGGGTTTAGAGCAGTGCGGCGGATCGCGGGCAGCGAGCGTGTCACAGTGCGGCTCCGTCCGCGAGTGCAGTTCGACGCAAGCGGCATCGTAGGCGACGCCGTCTGTCGAGGGTGGCGTGCGTGGGGCTGGCACCTTTGACACGGGTTGCGCCGGCACCTGTCCCAGCGTGGGCACGGACGTCGACGTCACCGCCGGCCCCGCTGGCGCCGACGTCCCCGCACCGGCCACGGGCCTCAGCTGCTGCGCGGGGGGTGGCGCCGAGCTGGGAGGGGGTGCCGGGCGGGGCAAGGGGGGCCGCGTCGACACCACTCGCTGCGCCGCCTGGGGCCCGGCCTGCGGCGTCGGCTGGGCTGCCGCCCTGGGACCCTGCGGGGTTCCGCCCCTCGGACCCGGAGGGCCGCCGCCCCTCGCTCCCTGAGGGCCCCCGCCCCTCGCTCCCTGAGGGCCCCCGCCCCTCGCTCCCTGAGGGCCCCCGCCCCTCGCTCCCTGAGGGCCCCCGCCCCTCGCTCCCTGAGGGCCCCCGCCCCTCGCTCCCTGCGGGCCCCCGCCCCTCGCTCCCTGAGGGCCCCCACCCCTCGCTCCCTGAGGGCCCCCGCCCCTGGCGCCCTGAGGGCCTCCCCCCCTGGGGCTCTGCTGGGGGCCCGCCCGGGCGGGCTGCGGGGCGGCGGCTTTTGGGACTTGGGGGGCGGGCGCGGGGGCGGCCGGGGCGTGGGCGGGGGCGCCGGGGGGCGAGGCGGGCGACGCGTGGTTGGGCTGGGGGGCGGGCGTCTGGGCGGGCGCTACCGACGTGGGGGTGGACCCCCCCGAGGAGGCGGCGGAGGCAGCCGCGGCGGCGGCGGAGGAGGCGGCGCGGGGCGGCCGGGTGGACGTAGGGGCGGCCCCCCTTTGCGGGGCGGATGGGCCCCCCTGGGCCTCCTCCTCCGGGCTCTGTGACTCCACGCTGGTTGCTGAAACACGGCACAGGGCACAGCGATCGCGGTCACAGCTTGCTCGGTGACGCAAGGCAACGGCGGCAGGTCGGTGTTAGACCCGGTGAGCAGCAGTCACGACTGTAATTATCGTCGAGTCTCAAGACTCTCTCCCACGAGGGGTTAGACACGTGAAGGAAGCAGGTGTCTTACATCGTCCACGAGGTCGCCGATGGCGACGCTGTGTTGCATATTATCAAGTTCTGCGTCAAACAAGATCCCACATTCAAGAGGAGGGTCCTTGTCTATAAACATTTGGCAGTTCACCAGCATTCATTTAAGCGAGCCTGGCTCTGCTGACGAGACGCTGAATTTCAAAACCAATCCTTGCTTATAAAAATCCAACAGTTCACCTGCATTGATTGGTTCACCAGTTTGTCTCGTATTTAACCAACAATGCCAAACAAATGCGCTTCGGCAAGGAACGTCGTTTGGCTGATGGGGATGTGTAAGAAACAAAGAAAAGCTCTTTAGGCTCCGTTCTCCACTCGCCCACTCACCCCCGAGACTCCTCAATCGCCACTGGCCGACTCAAAGAGACGGCGAGATGAAGTTCACTGGCAATGCAGAAGAATGTCGCTCCGAGACGGGATTCACCAACGTCCAGAGCGCGACCCGCCGCCCTGGCTTCTCTACCAGAACCCAGGATGCAATGCGTTGCAACCGTGCCATAATCTATTTTCAGTCTCCGTTTTATCGATGCACGTCAAGGATCGTAGGTTGCAGGGATAGGCCGTCGTGATGTTTGGCGCGAGGAGAGTGGGGGGGGGGTGAGCGAGTGAGGCCTGGTTAAGGCCTCTTCAGGGGGCAAATAAATCAGCAGCTGCTGTGGGGAGGAGCTGTAGCTGAAGGGGATAGGACAAGGGGTGGCAAGGGGCGCCCAAGTTTCCTGTGGAGCTGCTGTAGCCGAGGGGATAGGACACGATGGGGCTTAGTTTAACGGTGTGCAAGGAGGAAGCCACTGGAGCTATGCACTTTTAAATCTATATTGAAAACTCGTTTCTTTCAAACTGATTTAGCACGGTTGGCTACGTACGGTCCGAAAGAAGTTCAACATACATGCGTACATACTGCCCATAGACTAACACTACCCAAGACTCAACACTGCCCACAGGCTCAACACTGCCCAGAGATTCAACACGACACCTCTGATTAGCGCGGTGCGAAAGTTTAATATTCATACATGCATAACTTGAGGAGGCTTAGTTTTAACTGCGTGCAGTTAGGGCGGCTTAGGTTAACGAAGAACCAATAATGCATGTTCGAATCCCGGCCTCAGATTACGAGCGTTGGTGGGTCCCTCAAAGACTGGCCAGTCCCTCCCTACCACGGGGGGTGTCGAGGTCGCCTATCTCCAGGGTGATGGCAGCACAGCAAGTGGTTAATATTCATCTGGGGATCGAACGTTACGCCCCTCGCGCGCAAGGTTTCTCTCTGGGCGCTCCAGTTTCACGCAGTTCGCCCTCACACGAGTTTTCTCAGAGTGCTCCAGTTTCCTCCCACTCTTTAATGAAGTTGGCCAAACATCCCAATATAGGACCACACAGCGTGGTCGATTGTTGGGAGCTGCTTGTCTGTGGCCTCTCGAGCCTCTGCAACTCTTGTCGCCCTGTCTCGGAGAGCAATTCACACTACGCAGAGCGCGATCAATTATTTTAAAACTCCCCTTTCCCCCTCCCCTCAAAAATACCAGGCTGCCAATCGTCGCCCATACACAAATAGGGCAGCGAGCCCAGCCACCTTTCCCGATCCCTACCCCGAGGGCACCTGGCCTCGGGTTCAAACTAAAACTAAACTATTTTTTATTTTACCAGGCAAGGCCCGCCGAGCTACGTAGCTCTTTTTCAGAGGCGACCACAAAATGATAGCTCAACAAAGTAGTTTATCGCATGGAAAGTTTTAGCAGCCAAATGCAGTCGATCATCGCTTATCCGAGATAATCGCATCATTATTTAAAATAGTTATTTTTGCACATTCTTGAAAGACGTTGTGTTTTTAGGTGTTTTAAATTTGTTAACTATATGAAATTGGCATAAACATAGAAATAGATAAAAATAAATATCCTACTGTTTACATGGGGTGATGGTACGTACTACGCTCTTGTTTCAACAACTATGTGTTTCACGATCGCAGGACTGATGCAGCCTTTAGACTGGTGCTCCAGGGAATGCCGAATTACACAACGCACTTTTCGCCGGATCGCACCGTGCATACTTTCTGTTTTTACTACTGTAGTTATTAGTTATGAAAAACGCATACAGTGCAGTATTTTCATTGTTTAAGTTGCTGTATGTAGTGTATCATCTACTGTATATAATATTTGACACTGAAATAAAGCTTAGCTACCTTTTTTGTCACGCAAATGGTGCCGATCGTCGGACTTGTTACAGCCTTTGGAGCGGTTTTGGCGGTTCTGCCGGATCAGCTCGGGATCGCCGGATAATGTTGGTAACCAGATAATCGCACGCCAGATAATCCATGATCGACTGTGCTCTAAACGCATGTTTCTAAACGCGGAGGGAAAAACTGAAGGACCCGGAGAAATATCCAAGCGACCACGGAGAGATGGAGACACGCAAACTCCAGATATACAGCAGGTGTCAGCGTAGGGATCGAACCCATAACCCTCCTGTATACCAGGCGAAGTAGTTTATATCTCGCAACAGTTTGTCGCTCGCGAGGTGTCTGTACCGCCCCCCCCCCCCCCCCCTCCCTCCCCGTCGTTTGCATTCTGTATTGGGCATTGGTTTAATAAAAAAGCGATTACATATAATAACAAAAAGCACCTATATTTTGAAACGCGCAGGAACCGAAACGCAACGGCGCTTAAGAGGCGGTGCAACGCATGCGTAGCGAGCAGAGCAGCCGAAACGCGACTGGACGGCCAGAGCGCCGGTTTCTCCGCGGCCTACCGGCCCGCCGCACTCACTGGTATTCTTGCGGCCGCGGCCCTTGGCTGCCTTGGGCGCCGGCTGCTGCAGCTCAATTTCATCCTGGGGCATCTCTGCCACCTTCTGCAGGAAGAACTTCTCCAGGCTTTGCGCCATCAGCACGATGTCGTCGCTCGGCTGGTGGCGAGTGGGGAGGTGGTGCGGCGGAGGAGGGGGAGGGGGCGGTGAAGTGAGACGCCAGCGATACAACCACAAGGCCAGCACAAGCGGAGCGAGCTCCAACGAATTTGATTTTTTTTTTTTTATCAAAAACATTTCATCTTGAAAATCCTTTGAGATGGAATTCATCTCGTTTGTAAAGGGTGGTGCCAGGGTAGCAACTCATCCACACACAGCGTATGCACCCTCATAAGGAATATAGATTTGCAAAGGGCACTTCAATGGCCCTGCAATCTCAAAGCACTTAGCATCACACGTCCATTATTCTAAATGTGCTGCTGCGGTCCCTCTTGCTTAGCCAAGGGATCCCCCCCCCCCCAAGCAATGACAGCTGTCCCCGTGTGGCACAAGGCAATGCAGCACCGACCTTGCAAGTGAGTATTATAGTTTGTCTCCGCCATAGGAATGTAGAATTACCATCACCGACTCAGGGCTGTAATCAGAAGACGAGCGTGCGGCCTCGACGCTCATTCGAGCGGGAAATCGCTCTGGCTGTTCTCACAAACGCGACACGTACGCCCCCGCACTCGTGCGCCGATCGTGCACACGGGACTCTTGCAACGATCATGTGCTCGGCGCTCGTGCACGGCGATCGTGCACCGATCGTGCGTGCATCCATTGTGTACACGGCACTCTTGCACCGATAGTGCGTGCACTGATCGTGTGCACGGCACTCTTGCACCGATCGTGCGCACGCTGCTCGTGCACCGCGCCCGTTTACCTCGACGGCTAGAGTTGTGGCCTGCGCGGGGTGGGCGAGTGTGCGGCGCTCACCCTGTTGTAGATGTAGCAGTTTGTAAACATGGTGCTGAAGTCCTGGATGCACTCCACTGCCGTCCAGTAGTAGTTGGACTCCAGCCGCTTCTTGATGGTCCCCATGTCCATGGGGTTCTTGATGATCTCGTAATAATCCTGCGCGCACACAAACACCGCAACTCGTTCGTACAAATCCTTGCACGGCGGAGGAGCTCGCCTGACGACCGGGCCCTATACCCCCCCCCCCTCCATGGTGAACGGTCCCCGATTCAGGGGTCACGTATCACTCAACTGAACGTTTTTACTGTCATACCGATTGCTGCATGATGCGTGCGGGCGGTCCGTCTCGTACGCAAACGCGGGCCTCGTCTGAAAACGATTCCCCTCGCCTCCCGTTCATCGGGGCTGTTACAAATCTTTTTAAGTTCCGTTACTGATAACCGCACAAAACAACCATTAAACATGTGGCCCGCAGCATTTGGTTACTTTCGGGGCTAGATCGTGTAGCTATAATGCCAAGTTTTACACGTAATTATAATTAAAATATTGGCATTATATACCTTCACGACCTAACCCAAAAGAAACGAATTATGAATCGTGACACCGGCCGTGAAAGCCAACGTATCGGATTGAGAGGACCCGCGCCTATTGAAATATCGAGCAGAAAACACACCGCGTTTACCGTTCGAACTTGGAAGTCAATTGGGAGCTGCCACAGTGGTGCCACGGTGAGCAGCACACGACCGGAAGTGCAACCTAACAACTCGCCGGTCCGGTTCAATCTCCCGGCGCGCGCAGTTGAAACGATGGGGGCAGGTTTCTTAAATCCCCAACACCACTGCCACTGCCTCCGTTCACCCAGAAAAATGAACTCGCAAGCCCAGTTGGACTATTCCGCGTCATTTGTACAGTCCATCACCAGCACACGTCTCATTCGTATTATCTGTCCGATATTTTCTGTATCTCAATCAGCTCGAGCCTCCTGTAAATCACGCACCTTCCGTGTGGCCAACCCCACTCCGAATCCCTACCCTCTCATGCACATATCTAGAATCTCACTCGGATCTGGAAGAACACTGGCGAACGAAATGGAACGTGGATGTCCAAAATAAACACCTCCCCATTCGAGACCCCAAACATCACCCAAACATCACCCACCTCCTAGCTTTAACAGTCCACCCGGGAAGACACCGGTGGTGTAACCATCAACCGCATCACAAGATCGACAGGACGATGCGCATATCTCCTTCACGAATGTAAAAACTCATGACCCAAACTATGGACCACGTCGTAAACCACTCTAGTTCTCCCTTAACAGATGAACAGCAAAACTATAAACTCTCTCCTGAAACCCTCTCGTGGCTGGCAGACCTCAACAATGGCATTCAGCGCCTGAACATATTGCCATACCCAAGAATCGAATCAATATCTCTCCATCTAAAGCAGCGCAAGCCTCCCGTAAATCACGCAACTTCTGTGTGCCCCTCCCCCCCCCAGCCACTCCCGAGACCCTCTCCTCTCATCTATACATCTCTATCTCATCTCAATCGGCCCAAGCCTCCCGTAAATCACGTGGCTTTTGTGGCCACCCCCCAACCCTGAGGTCCCTTCGCCTCTCCCTGCCTCGCCCCTGCAAAAGCAGACGCGAGCTCACCACTGCTTGCTTCATCCTCCTCTCTTCCCCACCCCCCGCTCATTATCACCCTCTCATCCCCGCCATCTGCATGACATCCTTGACTTTACTTCCCTTCCCGTAGGGTGGCACACACAGTGGGTACAACATGTTATATTCTCTCATATGTGCTGCCGATCTCGTTTGCCCCGCATCACTTGTATTGTCCGACCCTCTATGTTTTGCGCTTTGTCTTCTTGTCCCTCTCATTTTGCATCGCTCATCTCCGTTGTTCCATCAGCGTCCGATGCATGCGTTGTTAAGAGGAAGAAAAAAACAATCTAATTTAATTGTCAAATCCATGCATCGCTGGACGCCTTGTGGAACGTTCAACAGGGAGATGGATCTACAGGTTATTTCAAGGGTTAGACTGGCACTGCCCGAGCATTTGCGCGGGATACACGGTGGAGGGTGGGGAGGCGAGATGACATCAGCGCGACTCGGGAACCCTGCGCGGTGGTGTTACCACAGCGCACTTGCCCACCCGTGCATCAGCCAGCAAAACTTTGTTTTACAATATAGTATGAAAACGATGCATTGATTGATGCCTTGTGGCACGTTGCATAGGGAGACAGATCTACAAGTTATTTTCACGTGTTCAGGCTCTTGTCTGCTTATTCACATTCATCCGTTATCTTAACCCCCCCCCGCCCCCTCCCCAGGGTTGCATTTCGTAAGTTTTACACAATTTAAACAGACTGCTGCCGCCACTCACGATGGGTTTTTGGACCCGTGGATGTGCGGCAATGATAGGGTTGGTAACGGTCACTAAATTGGGGCGCCACGATGGCGAGATGTTATCTGCCTCGTCTGGTATGCAGCAGGAGGTCGTGGGTTCGATCCCGACCCTGACGCCTATATATTCGGAGTTTGCGTGTTCTCCCTGTGGTGGCGTGGATTTTTCTCCGGGTTCTCTCGTTTTTCCCTCCACATTTAGAATTAATGTTGTGCGCTTAGAGTAATTTGGCTGTTATGCATTTCCATGTGATAAGCCACTTCGCTGAACTAGAGGTATGGAAGGACAATAAATCTCAAAGATCAAGAAGCCACCACGGCCAAAGCTGTTGATGACTCCGCATCTCATTGCTACCAAAGCTCTCTACCCTCCCGCCAGACACCACAGATGCTGCACAGTTGCGACACGCAGGGGAACTCCAGGTTCTGGCCTCGCAGTCTCCCACCATCTGGCCAATGGTCTTCTTCTTAATTCGCTAATATACAGGGTGGCCCAAAAGTCAGGATACGTGAGGTTATTTAATTTATTTGAACACTGGCATTAAAACATTTTAATTGTTAATTCTTTAATATTTTATCCGTTATTAATGTCTATTTTTTCTTCTTAATTTTTTAGATGGTATTTAGAAAACTCGAGAATTGAGATGAAGCATAAGCAATGAATGTTCAAAGATTACACCTGTAAACTTTAAAAAAGTCCTTAATTTATTTCAAAAGACAATTCATACGTGCGTGAATGTCAAAGGCAGTCGTTAAAATAAATGAAATAACCATTTGTCACTTGTTAATATAAATGTAATTTCCCTGTATGATCCTGACTTTTGGGCCACCCTGTATGACATAAAAAATAATGCCTGTTATTCATCCAGGAAATTCCTGAATTAATCTCACGAAATTTCCAAGAGGGCTCCTGCACGTGGTATTCACAATATTCTTATTGCGGAAGGCGATCACAAAAGGCGCTGTGTTTCACAGACGGGGACAGTCTGCCAGTCGGGAGCGATGTTGTGATGTGGTTTTACAGGTAGGTAATTTGCAGGTAAATTTTTTCACATTTCGAAAATTTGGACCGTCACGCCGGCGTGCACAATGCCCTCAGAGTCTTTTTCAAATGACGCCATGGGATCTTGAAACGCCCAACGTGACATGTGGACGCAGCGTAGGTTTTTTTTGTTTACGGTTAATACGCATTGCAGTATTGACCAAGGCAGCCCGCTGGATTCGAACGGCGAACCTCTGCAACAAGCGGTGGCCGTGCAACTGCTGAGGCCGCGCGACCCAATCCCATATTATAAAGCCCACCGCTTACGCAGACAATATGGGAACGTACTCTTTGGTTCTATTCGGTAAAGTCACGTAGGTATTTATCTTTTACCTACGTGACTTTACCGAATAGAACCAAAGAGTATGGATCCTTGCAGTCACGAAAGCTTCAAATCTTGAATATGGGAACGTTACGTTACTGCTTGGAACAACGCGGCAGAGAGACGAACAACCGAGACAAAAACGAGATGGACAGAACCGGACAATAATGCAGCGGACTACTAAATACGCAACACATGAGCCAGTACACAAAGACAGGAGAGAGTATAACGCACTTCCAGGGGGAGTACAAATGCACACAATTATTAACGCTATACAGAGCACAAATTCAGCCCAATTTGGAATCCAACAGACATATCGGTAAGTGCTACCTCATTGCAGAATTGAGATTAAAGCAGCAGTCAGGGTGATTGATGATCCAGCACTCTCACCTATTCACACCAGTCACTCGCTCGCTGGCGGTCAGTCGCCTCCTTATGACCGTCTTCTATTGCTACAACCGTGATTTACTGATCCCATGAAATCCACTCGTGGATATCTCCACCCATGTTGAGGATTCTGTCTAGCAGACTGATTCATCTGATCCACAATGTTCAACCACCACCCATGAACACTCATTCACCAGGCCACTTCACTTTTCCACCTGCTTATTCCCTAGCAATGCTCAACTTTTGCAATGCCCTCTCATCATCTCTCATCCCCCAAGTTCTTACAATAACCTCGCTCGATCCAAGAAACGCGTTACACCTCTGACAACAACAGTGCTGTTTGTTGCTGGCTGTTTGACGTATTCGGCCTGTGCTCAGCAACTATGCTTGTATTAAAAAAAAAATCAGCATACAAGACAGAAACCACAGTATGGACACGAGAGGTTTACACTTCTCTCCGAGCGAGAGGTGGATGCAGACGGGGGTGGGGAAATAAAATTATTCTCGTGGGACACACCTCAGGGGGAACAGAGTTTAAAGTGGATTATTTACTCTCGTCATTAACTACATTGTAAGATTTTTTTAATCGCTCCTATTTACATCACAACAAGAGATTGGAATCGGCATCCACTTGTCGATAACGAACTGCATCGACTCGGTGCCGGGGAGTGGAATCGTTGCGACTCTTCAGGAACAGACTGCACCCACCCCCCCTCACCTCTTCAACTGCTCACCACATTCCACAAGAGCAAATGCCGTACGACACAAACTTATACAAAAGGCTGACGTTTCGGGGAAAAGGCCCTTCTGCATAGCAGAGCAAAGTGAAACGTCGGCCCACTTGCACATTTTGTTTCTGCTGAAAAACAGAGATGATGACAAAACGCGGTGAACCCGGTGCATCGTATGCCAACTTTTAAATGTTGCCACTACTCAAGCTGTGCTTTGAAATACATCTGGCCGGTGCGGAAAAGGTAGGCCAAAGTTATTAAACTAAAAATATATATTTTTTTATTTTACCAGGTAAGGCCCACTGAGCTATATAGCTCTTTTTCAGAAGCGACCTTGCTATCACAAATGATAGCTCAAACAAGTGGCTTATCACGTGGAAATGTATTGCAGCCAAATACTTTACACACACGTGGATTCTAAATGCGGAGGAGAAAACTGAAGATCCGGAGAAAAATCCACGCGACCACCGGGAGAAACACGCAAACTTCAAATATACAGCAGCAGGCACCAGGGTCGGGATCGAACCCACGACCTCCTGCATACCAGGTGAGGTAGTTAACACCTCGTAACCGTGGATCTCTAGAGCACCCTCGAGTGGAGGTCGTTCCACCACCATGGTTACTGTTCCTGTGGAACTTCGCCCGTCGATTGCTGTACCCATATTGAGGAATCGAGTCGACTGGGCACCGATCGCTTCATCTCATCCCACAGCACATCGTGTTTAAAACCACTGCAATTGCAGAGGTCACAACACTTTGTCCATCACACGACTCCACTTTGGAATTCCTTCCCATCGTCTGAATCAGTGTTCTTCGTTGCAAGGTCCGCGAGCCCCTAGCGGCCCCTGGCGGCCTTTAGCGCAGCTCCTGACAATACACAAATGTGAAAACACCCCATCAATGCTGTCAAATGCGTCGCGGCCCCTGGAAAAAGTTGCCCACCTCTCACCATCGCTGCTCAATTCAGCAAACTCGTTAACTCCGGCCAGTTACAACTTCCATCGTTCTGTTGGTTGCTTGACGTTTTTTTGGTCCTTTGCTCTTGCTAGCAAGCGTGCAAACAAAAACTAAACCCCATCCCAGCATGAGATGATCCGAGTGAAAGTTGGGGTTGGGGTTGGGGGGGGCGGGCGGGCGAGCTCTGACCCACAGAGGAATCCCAATCCCTACCGGAAGATTGAGCTTGACTGTGTCCACGGGCGTGTGGAAGGGCCACGCGAATTGGTGTTTCCACAGGGCCTTGAGCACCACCTTGGCCAGGTACTGCAGCTGGTTGGTGAGTCGGCCCGGCTTTGCCGGGTTGCTCGTCTCGGGAGGCGGCGGGTTCGGGCCGCCGGCCTTGGGCGCGGGCTGCGGCGGCGCGGGCTGCTCCATGGTCTCGAGGAAGGAGAGGCCAGGAGAGGGGAGAGCTGCGGAGCGGAGGCGGGAAGAGAGAGAGGAGAGGGACAAGCTGGGGAGGGGAACGGTGGACGGGAGGGAGAAGAAGAGTTGAGGGGAGATGAGCGGGGAGGGGGGCGTAGCGGGGAAGAGGCAACGACGGGAGAGAGGGGAGCGGGGGAGTTTAAGGGGACGGGAGTGGGAAGCAGAGGAAGGGGAATCGGTGCAAGGCGAAGGGACGGATGAAAAAAAGAGGGAGACGGGCCGGAGGGAGAGGGGAAAGAGGCGAGGCCGTGGAGGCAGCGGCTTTACCGCCTCACTGTCCCGCCATCAGTAGCAACAGCGCCTGGGGGTAAAGAGCAGGACCCCGGGGGGGGGGGGGGGGTTCAGGAGGTAGGGGTTGTGTGGTCAGGAGTAGAGCGCACACACAAACCCACAACATCAGCCGCTTCACCGCAAGCGGCTCGCGGGCGCCTCGCGACCCGGGAGCCCGAGACGCGTTGCGGGCGGGAAAGACGCGGGGCCCGTGACCCCGGCGCGGCCTAGACGGGACCAGCGCGGCGGTTCCCGCGGGATCGAGTCGCGCGATCCCGGCAAAGAAACTAGCCGAGGACAGCCTGCCTGCACCACCACCCCCCCCCCCACACGTCCCACCGCTGGGCCTCGCGGCGCCGCGCACCTCGTCCGCCGAGCGCGTTCGCCGCGCGGGGAGCAAAGGCGGCGCTGATGAGGAGGAGGAGACCAAGGACGCCAGGAGGAGGAGGAGACGAGGGGACGAGGCAGGAGGCGACGCCGAGTTGGGGAAGAGACGAAATGGCGGCAAGGCGCGCGGCGCGGGGGTAGGACGAGGGGGGCGAAGCGAACCTGCGGGGGGGTGAGGGGTGACAACGACGACGGCGGCGGCGGCGGCGACGGGGTTGGGGGGGGGGGGAGACGGGGCTTGCGGGGCGATCGGCACAGGGGGTGCTGAGCGCGGCGGCGCGGGTAGGGAGGGAGCGGCGGTGTCCGATCGGCGGGAGTCGCGAGGAGCGGGGCTAGAGCCGCCGCGCCATTGTGAGCCGCCTCCTCCTCCCTGCCACGCGCCCATTGGCTGGCGTCGTCCACGTGACGCGGCCAGCACGCGCACGCGCGGGAAATTCAAATCGGGGGGCGGGGGGGTTGGGCAGTGGGGGGTAGGTGAGGGGGCAGTGGGGGGTAGGTGAGGGGGCAGTGGGGGGTAGGTGAGGGGGCAGTGGGGGGTAGGTGAGGGGGCAGTGGGGGGTAGGTGAGGGGGCAGTGGGGGGTAGGTGAGGGGGCAGTGGGGGGTAGGTGAGGGGGCAGTGGGGGGTAGGTGAGGGGGCGGTGGGGGATAGGTGAGGGGGGCAGTGGGGGGATAGGTGAGGGGGCGGGTGGGGGATAGGTGAGGGGGGCAGTGGGGGGTAGGTGAGGGGGGCAGTGGGGGGTAGGTGAGGGGGCAGTGGGGGGTAGGTGAGGGGGCAGTGGGGGGTAGGTGAGGGGGCAGTGGGGGGTAGGTGAGGGGGGGCAAGTGGGGGGTAGGTGAGGGGGCAGTGGGGGTAGGTGAGGGGGCAGTGGGGGGTAGGTGAGGGGGGTGGTGGGGGATAGGTGAGGGGGCAGTGGGGGATAGGTGAGGGGGCGGTGGGGGGATAGGTGAGGGGGCAAGTGGGGGGTAGGTGAGGGGGCAGTGGGGGATAGGTGAGGGGGCAGTGGGGGGTAGGTGAGGGGGCGGTGGGGGGTAGGTGAGGGGGCGGTGGGGGATAGGTGAGGGGGCAGTGGGGGGTAGGTGAGGGGGCAGTGGGGGGTAGGTGAGGGGGCAGTGGGGGGTAGGTGAGGGGGCAGTGGGGGGTAGGTGAGGGGGCAGTGGGGGGTAGGTGAGGGGGCAGTGGGGGGTAGGTGAGGGGGCAGTGGGGGGTAGGTGAGGGGGCAGTGGGGGATAGGTGAGGGGGCAGTGGGGGGTAGGTGAGGGGGCAGTGGGGGGTAGGTGAGGGGGCAGTGGGGGGTAGGTGAGGGGGCAGTGGGGGATAGGTGAGGGGGCAGTGGGGGGTAGGTGAGGGGGCAGTGGGGGGTAGGTGAGGGGGCAGTGGGGGGTAGGTGAGGGGGCAGTGGGGGATAGGTGAGGGGGCAGTGGGGGATAGGTGAGGGGGCAGTGGGGGATAGGTGAGGGGGCGGTGGGGGATAGGTGAGGGGGGCAGTGGGGGATAGGTGAGGGGGCGGTGGGGGATAGGTGAGGGGGCAGTGGGGGATAGGTGAGGGGGCAGTGGGGGATAGGTGAGGGGGCAGTGGGGGATAGGTGAGGGGGCAGTGGGGGATAGGTGAGGGGGCAGTGGGGGATAGGTGAGGGGACAGTGGGGGATAGGTGAGGGGGCAGTGGGGGATAGGTGAGGGGGTAGTGGGGGATAGGTGAGGGGGCAGTGGGGGATAGGTGAGGGGACAGTGCGGGATAGGTGAGGGGGCAGTGGGGGATAGGTGAGGGGGCAGTGGGGGATAGGTGAGGGGGCAGGTGGGGGATAGGTGAGGGGGGCAGTAGGGGATAGGTGAGGGGGCAGTGGGGGATAGGTGAGGGGACAGTGCGGGATAGGTGAGGGGGCGGTGGGGGATAGGTGAGGGGGCAGTGGAGGATAGGTGAGGGGGCAGTGCGGGATAGGTGAGGGGGCAGTAGGGGATAGGTGAGGGGACAGTGCGGGATAGGTGAGGGGGCAGTGGGGATAGGTGAGGGGACAGTGCGGATAGGTGAGGGGGGCAGTGGGGGATAGGTGAGGGGACAGTGGGGGATAGGTGAGGGGGCAGTGGGGGATAGGTGAGGGGGCAGTGGGGGATAGGTGAGGGGACAGTGCGGGATAGGTGAGGGGGCAGTGGGGATAGGTGAGGGGGTAGTAGGGGATAGGTGAGGGGGCAGTGGGGATAGGTGAGGGGGGCAGTGGGGGACAGGTGAGGGGCAGTGGGGGATAGGTGAGGGGGTAGTGGGGGATAGGTGAGGGGGCAGTGGGGGACAGGTGAGGGGGCAGTGGGGGATAGGTGAGGGGGCAGTGGGGGGTAGGTGAGGGGGCAGTGGGGGATAGGTGAGGGGGCAGTGGGGGACAGGTGAGGGGGCAGTGGGGGATAGGTGAGGGGGTAGTGGGGGATAGGTGAGGGGACAGTGGGGGATAGGTGAGGGGGCAGTGCGGGATAGGTGAGGGGGCAGTGGGGGATAGGTGAGGGGGTAGTGGGGGATAGGTGAGGGGGCAGTGGGGGATAGGTGAGGGGGCAGTGGGGGACAGGTGAGGGGCAGTGGGGGATAGGTGAGGGGGTAGTGGGGGATAGGTGAGGGGGCAGTGGGGGGTAGGTGAGGGGGCAGTGGGGGGTAGGTGAGGGGGCAGTGGGGGGTAGGTGAGGGGGCAGTGGGGGGTAGGTGAGGGGGCAGTGGGGGTAGGTGAGGGGTCAGTGGGGGGTAGGTGAGGGGGCAGTGGGGGTAGGTGAGGGGGCAGTGGGGGATAGGTGAGGGGGCAGTGGGGGTAGGTGAGGGGGCAGTGGGGGGATAGGTGAGGGGGCAGTGGGGGGTAGGTGAGGGGGAGTGGGGGGTAGGTGAGGGGGCAGTGGGGGGATAGGTGAGGGGCAGTGGGGGATAGGTGAGGGGGCAGGGGGGGATAGGTGAGGGGCCGGTGGGGGATAGGTGAGGGGGCAGTGGGGGATAGGTGAGGGGACAGTGGGGGATAGGTGAGGGGCAGTGGGGGATAGGTGAGGGTGGTAGTGGGGGATAGGTGAGGGGGCAGTGGGGGATAGGTGAGGGGACAGTGGGGATAGGTGAGGGGGCAGTGGGGGATAGGTGAGGGGGCAGTGGGGGATAGGTGAGGGGGCGGTGGGGGATAGGTGAGGGGCAGTGGGGATGGATAGGTGAGGGGACAGTGCGGGATAGGTGAGGAGGCAGTGGGGGATAGGTGAGGGGGCGGTGGGGGATAGGTGAGGGGGCAGTGGGGGATAGGTGAGGGGGCAGTGGGGGTAGGTGAGGGGCAGTGGGGGATAGGGAGGGGGGCAGTGGGGGGTAGGTGAGGGGGCAGTGGGGATAGGTGAGGGGGCAGTGGGGGGTAGGTGAGGGGGCAGTGGGGGATAGGTGAGGGGGCGGTGGGGATAGGTGAGGGGGCAGTGGGGGATAGGTGAGGGGGCAGTGCGGGATAGGTGAGGGGGCAGTGGGGGATAGGTGAGGGGGCGGTGGGGATAGGTGAGGGGGCAGTGGGGGATAGGTGAGGGGGCAGTGGGGGATAGGTGAGGGGGCAGTGGGGGATAGGTGAGGGGGCAGTGGGGGATAGGTGAGGGGGCAGTGGGGGATAGGTGAGGGGACAGTGCGGGATAGGTGAGGGGGCAGTGGGGGATAGGTGAGGGGACAGTGGGGGATAGGTGAGGGGGCAGTGGGGGATAGGTGAGGGGCAGTGGGGGATAGGTGAGGGGGCAGTGCGGGATAGGTGAGGGGGTAGTGGGGGATAGGTGAGGGGGCAGTGGGGGACAGGTGAGGGGCAGTGGGGGATAGGTGAGGGGGTAGTGGGGGATAGGTGAGGGGGCAGTGGGGGACAGGTGAGGGGGCAGTGGGGGATAGGTGAGGGGCAGTGGGGGGTAGGTGAGGGGGCAGTGGGGGATAGGTGAGGGGGCAGTGGGGGACAGGTGAGGGGGCAGTGGGGGATAGGTGAGGGGGCAGTGCGGGATAGGTGAGGGGGCAGTGGGGGATAGGTGAGGGGGCAGTGGAGGATAGGTGAAGGGGCAGTGGAGGATAGGTGAGGGGGCAGTGGGGGATAGGTGAGGGGGCAGTGCGGGATAGGTGAGGGGGCAGTGGGGGATAGGTGAGGGGGCAGTGGGGGATAGGTGAGGGGGCAGTGCGGGATAGGTGAGGGGGCAGTGGGGGATAGGTGAGGGGGCAGTAGGGGATAGGTGAGGGGGCAGTGGGGGATAGGTGAGGGGGCAGTGAGGGATAGGTGAGGGGGCAGTGGGGGATAGGTGAGGGGGCAGTGCGGGATAGGTGAGGGGGCAGTGGGGGATAGGTGAGGGGGCAGTGGGGGATAGGTGAGGGGGCAGTGGGGGATAGGTGAGGGGGCAGTGGGGGATAGGTGAGGGGCAGTGAGGGATAGGTGAGGGGGCAGTGGGGGATAGGTGAGGGGGCAGTGGGGGATAGGTGAGGGGACAGTGGGGGATAGGTGAGGGGGCAGTGAGGGATAGGTGAGGGGGCAGTGGGGGATAGGTGAGGGGGCAATGGGGGATAGGTGAGGGGGCAGTGGGGGATAGGTGAGGGGGCAGTGAGGGATAGGTGAGGGGGCAGTGAGGGATAGGTGAGGGGGCAGTGGGGGATAGGTGAGGGGGCAGTGAGGGATAGGTGAGGGGGCAGTGGGGGACAGGTGAGGGGGCAGTGGGGGATAGGGGAGGGGGCAGTGGGGGATAGGTGAGGGGGCAGTGGGGGATCGGGGGACTTTTGGGGTTCTCCCCGTTAATGCTTAAGGCTCATGGAGCCAGAATAATACTCCCTCTCGTCATCCCCCATGACAGTTTGTCGTTGGTCTCAGAGAGATGCTGGGCTTTCCGTGGATTCTCCTATCGGGTGCCACGGTGGCTAGGAGATGTTAACTACCTCGCCTGGTTTACAGGAGGTCGTTGGTTCGATCCAGACCCTGATGCCTGGTGTGTATTTGGAGTTTGCGTGCCTCTCTCACTCATCATCATCACTGTGGTTAGAAGATGTTAACTACCTCACTGGGTATACAGGAGGTCGTTGGTTCGATCCAGACCCTGATGCCTGCTGCTGTATATTTGGAATTTGCGTGTCTCTCTCTCATCATCATCATCACGGTGGCTAGGAGATGTTAACTACCACGCCTGGTATACAGGAGGTCGTTGGTTCGATACAGACCCTGATGCCTGCTGCTGTATATTTGGAGTTTGCGTGTCTCTCTCTCATCATCATCATCACGGTGGCTAGGAGATGTTAACTACCACGCCTGGTATACAGGAGGTCGTTGGTTCGAACCAAACCCTGATGCTTGCTGCTGTATATTTGGAGTTTGCGGTGTCTTTTTCTTTCCCCGTGGTCGCGTGGATTTTTCTCCAGGTCCGCCGGTTTTTCCATCCACGTTTAGA